ATAATAGAATATGAGCATAAGATTATAGATTATGCTAATCTAGTAGATTTAATGATAGAGTTGATGGATAGAATTGAGTGCTTGTTGGATTTTTGAGGGGAGAATTGATTTTGAATAGTGATATGATGGGAAATATGTGGTTGAAAAAGAAAAAAAAATTATTGATGTGATCGAAAATATTATTTTAGTGAAGAATGTGTGGTTGAAAATGAGAATTGATTTGAGAATCAATTCTCAAAATCAGAAACAAACACCCCCTGAAAATATTGAAATATAATAAATCAATTGTCAAAACTATTTATAAAGAAAGGATANAATTGTCAAAACTATTTATAAAGAAAGGATATACTTTGTAATAAACAAATCATATATCATTAAGGGTAAAATAGACTTTTTCATAAAAACCCAAATGGATCTAATATACCCGACTAGTTTGGAAAATACCCCAATTTTCCCATATGGTCACTTAAACTCGGTTGGTATATGACATCGTGTTGAGATAACCACTCCTAGTTGAAAACAAAATACCTTCTTCGAGAAGTACTATGAATTCTTCTTGTTGCTAACTTGCGATATAAAAGGAAAATTACTTTTCACGTCTTTGCTTCGACAATTCATTCTTGCTGAGTAAAAAAATAATCATTATTCCCAATTTCCAATTTTTCCCCATTTTTTTTTATACACATATGCATGGATTTATGTATATGAATCCGTGTCGATCTATATTCTTGAACAGGCAACCTTTTTTATAAAGTTATTGGATCTTTTTATTTTCTCCAGTTTCAGCTATGAAATCGAAAACCCTAATTCAAATTCATAGTTGATCTTCTTGTAATTTCGAGAAATATTTGTTATTGATAATATTTTGGGTATTTTGGGCTATGGCTACTCAAAAACCCCGAAGGACCCCGGCGGAAATCGAGGATATTATTCTCCGGAAAATATTCCTTGTGTCGCTTGTCGATTCGATGGAGAATGATTCACGAGTTGTGTACTTGGAGATGTCAGCAGCGGAGATTTTGAGTGAGGGAAAAGAGTTGAAACTGTCACGAGAATTGATGGAGAGGATCTTAATTGATCGGCTTTCGGGCAATTTTGTTTCTGCTGAGCCGCCGTTTCAGTATTTAGTTAATTGTTATCGTCGTGCGTATGAGGAGGGGAAGAAAATTGGGTCGATGAAGGATAAGAATGTGAGGGGGGAGTTGGAGATGGTAGTGAAGCAAGCTAAGAAATTGGCTGTTTCGTATAGTAGGATTCAGCTGGGGAATCCAGATATGTTTCCAAATTGGGATACGAATAAGTCAATTGTTTCTCCTTTGCTGCCTCTGGTTTTTTCCGAGGTAGGAAGTAATATTGATGGCTTTGGAGGGAGTATTGAGGCAGTTTCATCTCCCCCAGGGTTTTTGGAGGAGTTTTTCCTTGGTGGGGATTATGATTCCTTGGAATCAATTTTGAAGAAGTTGTATGAGGATTTGAGAGGAAGTATGCTGAAGGTTTCGGCTTTGGGGAACTTTCAGCAGCCACTCAGGGCCTTGTTGTTACTGTTGCATTATCCTGTGGGAGCCAAGGCACTAGTGAATCATCCATGGTGGATTCCGAAGAGCGTGTATCTGAATGGGAGAGTAATCGAGATGACTAGCATTTTGGGTCCTTTTTTCCATGTTAGTGCATTGCCCGATCATGCTCTCTTCAAGAGTGAGCCTGATGTTGGGTGAGTTCGACTATTTCTCCTCCTAGTTTGTTTGCGTGCAGTATGAATAATCTGCTGTTGTTCTTTGCATATTAGCTCGACATGTCTCGTGAGTAGTGGTTATTTTTGCTTAATTTGCTGTAAGAACATGTATGGTCGTATGGTTGCGTAACAATGTTTATTAAATCACATACACTTATTCTTTGTTGCTTGGTTATGCAACTTGCCCTTGAACATCATTGACTTTTGGAAATTCAGGTAAATCTAAGTGTTTTGCACTAAGAAAAGTATTACCTGAAGTTGAATTTGAGGGGATGTAGCCTTGGTAGTTTTTCTTTCCTCTGCAAGAACCTTTATGTGTTTATTGATGGCTACTCTTCTAAATTGCCAGCCAGCAGTGCTTCTCAGAAGAATCAACTCGTCGTCCAGCTGATCTTTTGTCTTCCTTCACAACTATTAAAACAGTCATGAACAACTTATATGATGGCCTGGCGGAAGTTCTTATGTGCCTCCTTAAGAATACAAGCACTCGTGAGAATGTTCTCGAGTACCTTGCAGAGGTCATCAACAGAAACTCTTCACGCGCTCATTTGCAGGTGAATCTTTTTCCAGCAGAGATTGTTCAAGTTAGGGTTTGAATTTACACCACATTAGTAAATCCCAGTCTTTTATCTCCCCAAATTCAGTATAAGAAGACGTCTTAATTTTATTTTTACTTTGCTGCACTTGAGAGTGTGGTCTAAATCTTTCAGAGTTTCATTGCTCTCTAATCATATATAAATGAAACTTGGTTACAGGTTGATCCACTATCTAGTGCCAGTTCTGGCATGTTTGTAAACTTGAGTGCCAGTATGCTTCGTCTCTGTGAGCCATTCTTGGATGCAAATATGTCGAAAAGGGATAAAGTTGATCCTAAATACATATTTGACAGTAATCGTTTGGAATTGAGGTGAGAGCTTTCTCTTGAAACTATGTACACTTTTTTTTTAAATTGGCAATGCCTTTGGCTTAATATTATATCTTACATTCTGATGATAAACATGTACCAGAGGACTGACTGCTCTACATGCATCATCTGAAGAAGTCACTGACTGGATAAACAGAATTAATCCTGGGAAAGTTGACGTCTCTGCAAATAATAGTGATATTGAAAATCGATTACTAAAATCACAGGAAGCTACTAGTTCTGGCAGTAAAGCAAATGAGGTTTCTTTGCTTCATAGTAATAGAGCAATGTCAAGTTGTAGCCAGAAAGACAAATACCCTTTTATTTGTGAATGCTTCTTCATGACTGCCAGGGTGCTTAACTTGGGGTTGCTAAAAGCTTTTTCAGACTTCAAAAATCTTGTTCAGGTTTTGAACTCCTTAGTTTTTGCAACAATGAACCAGATCTATTATTTTCATCTTTTTATTTCCTTTTAAATATAATGTTTTATTGCGGAATATGTATGTGTACCTTAAATAGTACTGGCTGTTAGACTAATTGAAGGCATTATTATCTTGGAACATATGTTTAGGACATTTCACGATGTGAAGATACTTTATCCACTTTCAAAGCCATGGTAGGGCAAGCACCATCTCCGCAATTGCAACAGGATATATCACGTCTTGAGAAAGAAATTGAGCTGTATTCACAAGAGAAATTATGCTATGAAGCGCAGATACTGAGAGTATGTATTTTTATCACATTTCTTTTCCCTCTCGTTGTGCATGTAGCGTGTCTATGTTATAATGCCGATGCATACATGAATGCACTTGTGCCCCTGTTGCAGATTCAACTTTTTTTATTGTCAAATTTTACTCAATATTTACAAAACTTACTTCATTATTCATAGGATGGAGGGCTTCTTGAGCGGGCATTGTCTTACTACCGTTTAATGGTGGTTTGGTTAGTTAGCCTAGTAGGTGGTTTTAAAATGCCTCTATCACCAACTTGCCCAATGGAATTTGCTTGTATGCCAGAGCACTTTGTGGAGGACACCATGGAGTTGCTTATTTTTGCCTCTAGAATTCCTAGAGCTTTGGACGGGATTATGCTTGTACGTTGAATCTTCAATTTACATTTTGGTGGACTGTTTATTCACCTATTAGATATTTCTTAATATTTTATTCATTTCATCTACATCTGGACAGGATGATTTTATGAACTTCATCATTATGTTCATGGCTAGTCCAGAATACGTAAGAAATCCTTATCTAAGAGCGAAGATGGTTGAAGTCCTCAATTGCTGGATGCCCAGAAGGAGGTGTGCTTTTTAGAACTTTAACATATTGCACTGAGACTTGCTCTCACTTTATCAACCAATCTGAATTTTCTTATGTACTCCCATCTAACTAAAACTTGTGTCTGCAGCGGCTCAACAGCCACATCAACTCTGTTTGAAGGACATCAACTGTCCCTAGAATACCTCGTGAGGAATCTTCTGAAGCTTTATGTTGACATTGAGTTCACTGGTTCCCACACTCAGGTATGCAGAACTTCTATATTCTGTTCTTAAATATATCTTTATACTTGTTTAGGCACTAATCCCTAAATTTCTAGTATTCTAAATAGGACCCTTGCTGATGACCAATCTTCTAATTTATCAGAATGTCTCCTGACATTTTTATATAGTTTCCACCAATTTATATTTAGTCTTGACAATTTAGCTTTCACATATGTTGTTACTCTGCTCACATCATGCTTGTCTTATAGAGGTGAGGTTGCACTAGACCACTATGAATATTGACGAAATTGCAAAATTGGTGATATGGATCATGAAAAAATTCCCAATAATGGAATTAATAAGAATTGAAATCATATTTCCTCTTCTATTTGGGAGAAGCATTGAAATTTTCGATAGCCAAGATGGACAACTAGTTTATTTTCCCAAACTGTCAAAGTAGATACTGTTGTACATAGCGTCTTTCCTTTCAGACATCAATGATTCAACTAAGTACACTGTCTCGGAGAGCTGAAAAAATCATATGTCGCTGCTATACTCAATAATTTTGATTTTTTCACCTATCCTTAGGATATGGTGTTGTGCATTTTCGTTTTACTGATTTTGGAGTAAATCCATTAAATATCACTTCGATATTCATGGTTTATTTGACACCCTATGCAGTTCTATGACAAGTTTAATATACGCCACAACATTGCCGAACTACTTGAATATCTATGGCAGGTTCCAAGTCACCGTAACGTTTGGAGACAGGTTGAGTTACCTGAGCTTTTCTTTTGTTCTTTTTTCCTTTTTTTTTCTCCTCTTTTGCATATCTTATCGATTTCTGTTTGAAATACTATTTATTACTATTGCATGCTGTTCCAGATAGCTAGGGAGGAGGAGAAGGGTGTCTATTTGAACTTCTTAAACTTTTTGATCAACGATAGCATTTATCTCCTTGACGAAAGTCTGAACAAAATACTTGAACTCAAAGAACTGGAAGCTGAGATGTCTAATACTGTGGAATGGGAACAAAGATCTCAGCAAGAGAGGCAGGAGAGAACTCGGCTTTTCCATTCCCAAGAGAATGTGAGTTTCACTTCATATTTATTTGTGAATCTATGGTTTGAAATGCTTATTCAGATGGAAGCTCCTTTGTGTTGTAGATTATAAAGATTGATATGAAATTGGCAAATGAAGATGTTAGTTTGCTGGCATTTACTTCCGAACAGATTACAGCTCCCCTTCTACTGCCGGAGATGGTATTCTGCATCATTGAAATTTCAACTTTCTGAAACTGGTCTGGTTAAGGTTTCATTTACAGTCTTTGTTGTGTTCTTCCAGGTTGAAAGAGTAGCCAGTATGCTAAACTATTTTCTATTACAACTGGTGGGGCCCCAAAGAAAATCTCTTAGCTTGAAAGACCCTGAAAAGTATGAGTTTCGACCAAAACAATTGCTAAAGCAGGTTGGTAGTAAAATGATATTTTGTTTCTTATTCAAAGTTAATTGTAGATAATGACAGTTTCTTGTTTATCAAACCCGGACTGCGCCAGTTGGTTAAACCCGAAACTTCTGTGTTTTTCAAATCTATCAACCCGGTTGGGTAAACAGGACAGTTCCATAAATTACATTAAACCTTGAATCTCTTGGTTATTAGCCTGCCTCCTTCACACTGTGCCAATTTGGTTTGAGAGATGTGCCAGAAGGGCATTCACTTTAGGTTTAAAAATGGAAAATAGATTCCGACTTATTCTCGTACCACAATTATTAGTTCTACTGTATGTCTGGATTTGATTATAAGTTCGTTATAATTTAAAGTCAAAGTCAACCTTTAATTTAACCACGCTTAGTAGGACCCACAACTTGTACGCACTTATCCATCATTCATTTCTATCACATTATAATTTCAGCAACTTATAAAAAAATTCAAACCAGATGTTAAGTTTTAAGTTTCATTATTCTGGCAACTTCCCAGTTTTGTAGGAATTGAAGTATAACTAGGACTAATATTTATGAATATTGAAAACTATTATTTTGATATATTCAGCTATATTGAAATTCCTCTCTCCATTTTCTATGTCAATTCTTATTCTCTTTCACTTTCTCTCTGCATCATATTTGCTTAGACATCTTAATATATTGCATCTTGCCATCTTTTGCACCATCATGATCTTGGATTAAAATTAAGATCTGCAGTAAAACCTTTCTTCAGTGATTGGTTTCGCCGTCAATGGTGTTCCTACTTTCTGTAGCTATTATATTTCTAATTGCAAAAAGGATGACGCACGTATAGCTTTGTTCTAATTGCGTGTTTTTGTATTTGAAGATTGTAAACATATATGTGAACTTGGCTAGAGGAGATAAGGAAAACATCTTCCCAGGTGCGATCATAAGAGATGGTCGATCATACAACGAACTGGTACTAAATTATGCAATTCTTTTCGCCTGGTTTTCTTACGATGTTGGTTAGGACTGGAAACATGTTCGATCAATATGAGCTAACTATTTTTTTCCAGCTATTTGGTGCTGCAGCAGATGTCCTCAGGAGAATTGGGGAAGATGTAAGGATCATTCAAGAGTTTATCGATCTCGGTGCAAAAACTAAAGTTGCAGCTTCAGTGGCCATGGATGCCGAGGCTGTTCTTGGAGATATACCAGATGAATTCCTGGACCCAATTCAAGTAAATAATCATATCTTCGCTTGTTTGACTGGAGTCATTATGATAATATGCTCAATTATCGTGTAATATGGTTATTTGCAATTCAACCGTTTCTTTTTTTGTCTAATGACGCTAATTTTCTATGGTTTGCAGTATACTTTAATGAAGGATCCTGTCATGTTACCTTCGTCAAAGGTCACACTCGACCGATCCGTTATTCATAGGCATCTTCTAAGTGATAGTGTAAGTTCCTTCTGACCTGCTTTATTAAGAGTTAAAAATTCGGGGAAAAAGTTCTAACTTATTTGTTTTGGAATTACAGACTGACCCCTTTAACCGTTCTCATCTCACGGTTGACATGTTGATTCCAAACACGGAGTTGAAGGCAGCTATTGAAGAATTCATTAGGTCACAAGAGGTGAAGCACAGTGCGGATAACTCGAATATGCAAAGTAGCAAAGACACAATAAAGACGACGAATACAACTTCTTTAATTGACTAGTTAGAATATTTAGAATCGTCCCAAATCTGTAAATTGGATTCTGTTCTGTAATTTGCAATCAGTTAAAACATAATTTCCCACCCCATGGTACATTTATCTTATTATACATCCAAAGAAGAGTTTAAATTTATTGCCTTTCTTGAAATATTGTAAATTTATTTGGTTAAGATATCTATTGTGCTGAAGTACTGTATTGGAACTGCAGTTTCTATGTTCAATTTAGACTAAGGGTCTATTTGATTGCAAGAGTGGAATTTGGGTGGAAAGAAAATGAATTCTAGGGAATTGAATTGTCTAAAATTGTTTTCTTGGGAGTTGTCCATTAATTGTGTTTGATTAGTATAATTTTTCAAGTGAAAAATATTGAAATTTTGGATCTTTTGATATTCGTTTGACTTTGTTTTATATGAAAATTGTCCATTAAAGGGATATAATTTGTTACAATTGGGGGATAAAATTTGTTTTTATTGTCAAATTCTTTTTTTTTTTTTTTTGAAAGTAAACTGGAAAATCAATTTCCACCATCCCACCGTGTGAGCCAAAATCAAGAAAGTGAATTGTCAAGAGAATTTTCCGAATCAAACATCTCTTTTGGTGGAAGATGAAATTTGATTTTCAAGTTCCATGAAAATGATACAAAATCAAACATGCCCTAATTGGAGTGAGTTATCTACTTATCTTGGACATTAACTCCCGTGTCAAAATCTCTCTTAAAATTTGATACACGTTAATTATGTTTCACCATAAGGTGAGTATTCTCGTAAAATTATTAGTAAATTTTTAGGAAGAATAGTATTCAGTCCAACGAAATTTGTGGTTAATAAATTAGTATTTGTGAATGCGTGATTGAAATTAATGCTCGAATTTGATTGAATAGGAAAAATAATTTTTTAATTTTACACATGCGATATTTAGTTAATGTCTATAAACTGTTTATGATTGGTGAACTTATAATTCATAAGTATTATTCCTTTATGGATAACTCATTTTTATTGTAATTATTATAAAGAAAATTAGGTGTCTTTAGTAATTTTTCCTAAAGGTAAGTTAAGCTATCTGTAATCTATATTACTTTTTAATATATTTCTACTCGTAACTTTTTGAATGTATCCATGTTGCATATAATGTAAGTACACAAAACAATATTAAAAAAAAAAAAAAACAAAAGTTGGGTTTGATAGTGAAGACTACCAGTAATCGTCCTACGTGCCTCATGTATCAAATAATAAACTATAATGTGTATGTTATGTAGAGCGACTATCAGCAATCGTCCTATGTGCCTCATGCATCAAATAACAAACTATCATATGTATGTCATGTACAGCGACTATCGATAGTTTTCCCTATAAATACAACATTAAAAAAAGAAATATTTAAATTTTGTTTGTTATGCTATGTACAAAAATGTCCTGTCCATATGCCAATTTGATGGTTTCGATTGGGATTAAGAGACCCAAAAAAAAAAAAGCAAAAATAGAGACAACAGTTCAAAAAATAAAGGTCAGAAACAATTCCCTTTGTTCAAAATCATGAGATGACCCCACGGCATTAATTTTCATCAATTATTCAGTTCAAAAACATACCGCTTATATCGTTCACTTTGTTAATTCCCTATCTGATGTAAAATGTGGTGAAAATATGTCTAATGCTTTGTAAAATATGAATGCATAAGTGGAATTGGTGAGATTGGTAGAAAATATACTGCTTGATCTGTTTTGTAATGTTAGAAGAATACTGTAGGCGTATGTATTGTTGTTTAGAATATATGGAAAGGGGTGGAGTTGCTTTGAAAACTATGGCAGTGATCAAGAATTTCTCTCCACTCTCTTAGTTCGTGTAGTAGTGGCATTTGATTATTGTTGTTGCTTCCTGTCCAGGATGAGAGGATGGAGTGTTGGTGTTTGTAACGACTGTGGAAGCACAGAGCACTTCTTCAGGGACTGTTCGAAGAAACAGCGATACCCATGGTTTGCACCTGAATTGCAGAAAATGTTTTGAGGTTGAAATGAAGATCGAGAACAAATGACGATTATTCAAAACCTGCAGTAATAATTGTGGATATAAATAGCAACATTAAAAAAGAAATATTTAAATTTTGTTTGTTATGCTATGTACAAAAATTTCATGTCCTTGTGCCAATTTGATGGTTTCGTTCATTAGGGATTAAGAAAACAAAAAAACGAAAACTAGAGACAAACACTTCAAAAAATAAAGATTAGAAACAATTCCCTTTGTACAAAATCATGAGATGACCCCACGGCATTAATTTTGGTCAATTATTCAATTCAATACTAAACCGATAAAATCTAAATTATTTAGATCTTGTCACCTAATTATTTTTACATATTCTGAACATTTTTATAAACGAGAAACTTTTATGTACGTGAAACATATTTCAAGGTATCCTCAATACAGAGTATGTTTGATACTCATTTTTTCAAAATTCATTTTCAACCATATTCTAATATAAAATAATTTTACATGTAAATAGAAAACTTTTCATTACTTTTTAACCACGCATTTTCTAACAAAATGCTATTCTAAAATGCATTTTGATAAAAAAAAAAAAGTATAATATCCATTAAACTCTGGGTAACCTCCATTGTTATCTCGACCATTTTTATTTCTTTTTTAAAATAATATTATGATGATGAATTATATTATTAAAAATTAATTGGGTCAATTATTTATTGTTAGCAGGTAAAACAACCATGAACATGTGCCAGTGCCACACTGATTGACTATTAGCTGGAAAACACAGCTTCTTCAAAGAAACCAAATGTACAGTTTTATATTTCACAGATTAATTAACGGCAGATCACACGCCAATATAATCGCAAATTAACAACTACAGGGCCAAAACACTAAAACCCAGTTTCCACTTCCATCTATATATAATCACGTACATAGTAGAGAGAGAGAGAGAGACAGTAGAAAATGGCGGGGCTGAGGAGGGGCATTCGTTGGTGGGCTGCGGCGGCTGTGCTAACATGCGTTGTGATGTTGATAATGCCGCCGGAGGTGTCGGCGGTTCGCTACATTGTGGGAGGTAACATGGGCTGGACTACAAATGTGAACTACACCGTTTGGGCTCAGGGAAAACAATTCTATCTTGGCGATTGGCTCTGTATGTTGTTCTCTTTTTTCACTTTCAGATCTTTTTGAAAATTGTTTTCTCATTTCATATGCTTATTGTGCAATGAAATCCTTTAGCTATGTTAGATTAACTGAAGTGTTTCACGGATTAATAAATCGAGTGAAAATCAGAAACAAGCAAAGCAATCACGTCCACTTGATGACTAAAGTTATCTCTGTAGTACAGAATAGAGTAGCACATTTTCTCACGTTCAACTGTGGTTACAATGAGTATTGGGTCTTCTGATTTAGCATTCTTTCTTGTGTTACTTTAGATTTAGTTGCTTGAATTGTTGGATTGAGTATTTTTTTTTGAATTGAAAAGGTTTCCTATTTTTCCATTGGCATATGTACCATTCTATCTTTCGTGGGAAAAGTTTTGGTGACTGTTGGATCTATTTTCTTTAGTCCTTTTAGTATGTATTTTTCTTCAAATGTCAATACGAGTAACTCCGGACATGGCAATAAAAGCCGAACATGCAGGTGATTCCAGTCATTAAAATTCCCGTTGAAATAGGAGCATTTTATAAAGTTATTGTTTTGGACTATGATCTATAGTTTGAGGTTTATTATGAACTTTTTTAACTTTCACCATGTTGTTTGGATTAGTCATGTAAATAAAGATTAACATGCTACTTGTTATTCTGTACAAAGGAGTCCTGTCTAATTCATAATGCACTTTTGTATTTTACTCTTCCTTTTCCTTCCCAGTTTTCGTGTATGATAGGAACCAGATGAACGTGCTCGAGGTAAACAGTACGGATTACGATAATTGTATTTCCGATCATCCCCTTCACGATTGGACTACTGGTGCTGGACGGGAAGTGGTTCCTCTAAATGTGACAAAGACTCGCTACTTCATCAGCGGCAAAGGATTCTGCTTTGGAGGAGTGAAAGTAGCTATTCATGTGGAGAAACCCCCACCCCCACCAACATATTCGCCACAAAAAAGCGTCTCTCCTGGCTTGCTAAATTCTTTTAGAGCTCAGATTTTTGTGCCAGTTCTTTTTGCAGTAGCCGCAGCGTGGGATTCGTTTCTTCTACGCTTATAGCAGCTGTGTTTTTGGAAGAAATATCAACAAATTTGCTAGTGTGCGGGAAGAAATGTCGTGTTTTGTTCCATTGGTTTATTAGTTCTTTTGTGTTTTGTTCGAGTGAGGTTGACTGCACAGTATTGGATAGTACCAAAGAAGAAAATAAGTTAAAATTCATATATTGTATTGTCCAGTCTTGTAACATACTTTTGACCTGTTTTTTCGGGTCATGCTTTGTGGAAGCTTGTAGTGTTGAAAACTTACCATTTGTTCAAGAAACTCTGTGTTGGAGAATTCAAGTGCGTTAATTGTGGATATATGTCTTTTGAGTTTTATTATGCACTCACCTAAACCATGTGACCACGAAATATCACTGTTGAATTCTTCTCAATCAATTTTACGAAGATTAGTGCGAGAATATCCACTCAATTTAATTTAAAATTAGGAATTACGTACAAGTCAAAGTCAAAATTAAAAGTTAGTGACAAAAATTTTGACAATTACTTTGGTATTGTATCTTAAGTTCACACGTGCAAACCTATGCTACTGTCAACGAGCATATCTAATGTTAAATCATAAGTTTTATCTTAATTATAAACGAAAAAGCACGAGATGTACGAGCAGATATATAATCAATGAGTGAAGAATATGTGGCATGACAAATAAAACTTAAAAATATAACCGATTCTGTTAAAAACGTACTAATTAATGACCGTCGTGTCGCTATTAAATTACCCTCTTGACTTTATCAAGTATTCATAAATAGTTATGAATTCAAACGAAAATGTGATAAATTGGATTTCCTCCTTTCTTAAAATAGCCAATTTCCCCCCTAAGCTCTTATTTTTAGTAAGTTTCATTGAGTTTTGGTAGAGAAAGCCTTGGCCAAGTGAAAGGAAATTGTTAACTTAAAACCCCTTATTTGTATGTACATTGCAAAAAAATTAGGGATGAATTTGAGTTTGGTTTGGATGTAATTAAAAGGAAATGACTTTAGCTACATATTTTGAAAAAAAAAAAAAAACGAATTGAAAAAAATGTTGTCAAATTAAAAAAACAAAAATTAATTTGTATTAGTATGAACTTTCATGAATTTAGGCAATTAATATTTTATATATACGTTGGTCTTAAATGATCTAAAAAAAAATTATCTTATACATTTAATGAGGTTATTAATTTATATATTGGCTCAAGTCGAACCGAAAATTTTTGTTATTTAAACGAGATTATTAAATTATCGAACATTCATATCTTCTATTTATTAAAAGTGGCTATGTAACGAAATTTCTTATTTTTAACAGAAAAACTAACGGAATTTGTTGTTTTAATGGACTATGTAACGGAATTTCTTATTTTAAACAAGCAGCTGCACCTTCTTTCAGTTTTTTTTATCATAACTTTGTATTCCGATGTCCGATTGAAGCGATTCAAAATGCATTGGAAAGCTAACTCATATGGCTACAACTTTGATTCAGACATCATTCTCCAATTCGATCACTTTCTATGCCAAAAATAGGTCTCAATATGAGATTAAAACATCGGAGCATAACTTTTCGATTGGAAATTGATTTGTGATCATTATCAAAATCACACGTCTAATTATTTAACAATTACATAAACATTATATCATTAATTATTTTATTAACCAAAAAAATTACATCTTTATTAATAACAAATTAATTATTAAACAAAACTATTAAATATAAACCAGGCAAACGTGCATTGCACGTTGTTTGCACCTAGCGTGTATATATATATTATTATTATTATTATTATTATTATTATTATTAAGATGCTTGAAATGCATCTTTTCAAAAAATTAGTTGATGAAACATAACTATCATCTAAATCGTGATAATTTTCTGTATGTGTATTAAATACCCTTTGAATAATCTTTTCATCATTATGTTATTACTCCTTCATATCATTTATTAGAAATGACTTCTTTGTAATCCATTGATACATTATTAAATTATTCATTTAATGGAAATTAATAATCAATCTATAGTAATATGTTTCTTGATTCCAATATTATTATTTTCTAGTTATACAATAATAATAATAATAATAATGAAATGGACATGCCGCATGACTTATTCGATACGCGTTGGGGTCTTGTCATGTCATGTCATTGTAATGCCCTCACCGACGTCAAAGACACGTTAACCCTTCCTCGACCTCATGCTTAGGTATATATTATGGTGTTCGGTCAATTTAATAATTCCAATATTATTATTTTTTTAACATGTAATGCATAAAAATGCATTTTCTGTTATTCGGAGGACAAGTACACTGTAAGTGTAGCAGTTCTCGCAAGAATATTGTTAAGGTAAAACCTTGAAATCTTTCTCATTTTTTATTGTTCTCAAAAAATTTGTACCAAAAGCCACAAAAGCCGCAACATCCGGCGTTTCGGCTTTCGCTTTCTTCATCAGCAGAATTCACCACCTCGCCCACATCGGAGGGCGCGCGCGCTTAATTCTATACACCTCACACACACCGCATAAAAATCTCTTATTAATTTTCTTTTTCACATATTTTCTCTTCTCTCAATATAAAGTTCCTTTTGCAATTTTTCATTTTTAGTTTTTATTCTCCAAATTTCGGCACAGTTTTATCGATTCGTTTCTCTTGTAAGTATCTCTCTTTTAATTTGTACATTTTTTTTTCTATGCATTACATGTTGTGGGTTTCGAATTTTAGAAACCCTTACTTGAATTTCCTCTATATTAGGATTTTTTTCTGCTCGCGGAATTTTAGATCTGTAGCTGAAGGAGTTATGCATTTTTAATTACGAGGAAATGATATTTTAGTTGTCAAGATTTAAGCTTTATGCGAAAGGGGTGGAGGCTAGTTACAGAATTGGGGATTTTTGGAAGAATCAATTTTTTTTTTGGATTTAGTTTGTAATTTTGATATTTTACGTTTGTTGCTATTCTAAAATTAGCTATCTGTTATTTTCATTTTTATATTTGTTCTCGTTGTCTTGAACAATTCTTAAAGGATGAATACTTTGTCACTTGTAGAATAAGGATATATTTGTGTTCAATTTAGAACATCACGACTTAATTATGTATTCGCTGGGTATCTTCAGTTTTGATACTGGTATAGTTATGAAAATCTGTTTTAATCTACCTTAGTTGTTAAACATGCTATAATACCCGCATTTTTCAGACCTGTCGGTTCCTTCTCAATGGTAGATGCATTTTTGGCAGCCCTTCTGCTAATGACTGACTGAATTTGGAGGATGAAAAATCTGTCACTTCTTACCAGTGATTTTTGATATACTCTGGAGAATGTATTTACAGCATTATATACATGCCCTTATGTATACATGCTGTTTTATTTCTCATCTATTATATTTATACTTTCAGGAATATGGATGGATCACGCCAAGATGGTAGTGTGGATTCATTCTTGCGAAACTATAAGCTTGGGAAGACTCTTGGCATCGGTTCATTTGGTAAAGTTAAAATTGCCGAACATACATTGACAAGGCACAAAGTTGCTGTCAAGATCCTTAACCGTAAGAAAATAAAGAATATGGATATGGAAGAAAAAGGTTGGTCAATCAATCTTAATGTAACATATGTTATAATCTATTGTCTGCAACCTATTCTTGCATCTCTTTAGGGGAAATATGGTCCTTCATTACCGGATGTTTTGCTGTCCAGTATTTGATGCTCTGCGATGAGAATCAAACTACAGTAATTGTTGGACCATGCAAAACTGAATTTGTTTTATCCTCTTTTTTATGTGAGCAGATTTTACTGCAAGCCTATTTCTTGTCTTCACAGCATTTGGATACATTCAATTATTTTTCCCCATAAATAAGTTTATTGCATCATAATCTACATATTAGTTGTGTAAAACTTGTACTCTAGTTCCATTTGATGCTGAATGTGCCCAATTATTTCCAAAAATCTGATAGTCTGTGATTTACAGTACCTGTTTTCGTTTTATTTTAATTTTCATCCTTTTATATTTGTTTAGTTTTGTGTCCCAACAATTTAATCTGAACTTATTCTAAAGCTGACTTTACGTACATTTCCTGAAATTGATGTAAGTTGCTGTTTTTATGGTTCAAGTTCCATAGCCTTTTAATTATTTCATTAACAGAGAATTCATTGAAATGCTTCTTCCTAATTTAGTCATCCTTAAAAGGCTTTACTATTTTGGTCATGTTATTTTGATCAATTTCAATTCTAAAAATGCGGACCCAAATGGAGCGCTCTTATTTACTGAACCTTATTGGATGACTTCAAGAGTGGTTGTCTTCTTGCAGTTCGAAGAGAGATCAAAATTTTGAGATTGTTTATGCATCCCCACATCATACGTCTGTATGAGGTTGTAGAGACACATTCAGATATATACGTTGTGATGGAATATGTGAAATCTGGTGAGTTGTTTGATTACATTGTGGAAAAGGGTAGGTTACAGGAGGAAGAGGCACGCAATTTCTTTCAGCAGGTAGGGTGATTGATATTCCAATCTTGTCCATCTAAAGTGATTACCTTGATTCTTCTGTTTGGAATTACAGATTTTAAATGTTTACGGGGGTGATTGCAGATAATCTCTGGAGTGGAGTACTGCCACAGGAATATGGTTGTCCATAGAGATCTGAAGCCCGAGAACCTGCTTCTAGATTCTAAGAGAAATGTGAAGATTGCTGATTTCGGTTTGAGTAATATAATGCGTGATGGTCATTTTCTGAAAACAAGTTGTGGAAGCCCGAACTACGCCGCGCCTGAGGTACAATACAGAAGTAGCAGTGTTAATAACAAGCTATAAATTTATTAGAAGAATTGTGAATCGTCTCACTGCTTGAAATAATTTCATGGACGGTTTTTGAAAGAAGTCAGTATTACATTTTCATCTGTAGGTTATATCTGGGAAATTGTATGCGGGGCCTGAAGTAGACGTCTGGAGCTGTGGTGTTATTCTCTATGCACTGCTTTGTGGCACTCTTCCCTTTGATGATGAAAACATTCCTAACCTTTTTAAGAAAATAAAGGTATATTAAGGTTTAGTACAATGTCTGTCACCTAAATCTCCATTTATTTTCTTGCCCAAGTTGACTGCAAGAATGAGTAACAGAGTTGACCTTATATATTCTGGATTGACATTATATATCTCTGACTATTAGAAGACTGGCGTGGAAGAGCGACCTGGTGCTGAGCTTTAGGTCGTTCAATCCTTGTTACTATCATAAAAGATGCTTTAAATGAGGTCTCATAGGGATTCCCCATGACAGAGTCAACATGTTGTGTATAAATTTCCTTATTCAGATTAATTAAACTGTATACAGAATTCTATTCTAGCAAGAAGCCTGAATTACAATTGGAAGTTTTATTTTATTTCTTCTGTGGGAGTTGATCTTGATCCTATTCGGAGTATTACGACTTCTTTTCAGTAGAAAGAGGAGCTATCTTAAAAGATTTCCCAACTACTTCATTCTTCTGTCTGACTTTTCCTTCAGGGTGGAATATATACTCTCCCCAGTCATTTATCTCCTGGTGCTAGAGATTTGATTCCGAGAATGCTTATTGTTGACCCTATGAAGCGAATGACTATTCCTGATATTCGTGCACATTCCTGGTTCCGAGCTCATCTGCCACGCTATTTAGCTGTGTCGCCTCCAGATACAATGCAACAAGCTAAAAAGGTATAAAATTTCTAATTTTGGGTTAAAGTTTAAAAACTTTATATTACAATAGTTATTGGGTTTTCCTCTCATTCTCCACGTGCGCACTGTTAAGGGATAAATCCCACATCGTTAAATACCAAAATATAGATCAAGATATAAGGACTTGAGTTACTTCTCTTAATAATGTTGACATTTTAAAATGAAACCTCAAGTCTTAATATGATATTAGTGCCCATTAAGTTTCAACGAGTAATTTTATGCGATTAATACTCAAAAAATGAGCACGCGGATTTCAAGATTGGTGTGTTCAAACGAACCACCATCTTGCGGAGGTATGTTAAGGGATAAATTCCACATACGTTAAATACCGAAATATAGACCAACATGACTTGGGCTAAGATGGAACTCCAAGTCTCTTTATCTCCAATATGCTTCCACTGGTATACCGAAATTTTCAATAAGGAAACTCCTATTTATTCCCACGAGACAATCAACTTGAGGATTCTAAAGAAAAGTAACTACAAGAATGTCGATGTAATCTCTCTTATGATTCTGTATGTGGATGTGTATCTAATTGGCTACTTTTCCCCAAACCCTTGCTCTTAGTTCTTCTGTCTTTCCTGATAATGTGGCTATTTTTTGTCTCCTAGCTTCCATTATGTGCTTGATCTGATCCCCCTAATGCACCGGTCTTCATGGATTAGTCTTAATGCTTACAATCTTAACAAGTAAAATTTTTCCCTAAGCAGATTGATGAAGAGATTCTTCAAGAAGTGGTCAAGATGGGTTTTGACAGGAATGCTCTTGTTGAGTCCCTTCGCAACAGAGTTCAAAATGAGGTTATTATGTGGTTAATTGGCTATATCATGTTTATTTATATATATTTCCTTTTTTATTTTTTAATTTATTGATTATATCTCAGGGTACCGTTTCATACTATTTGCTGTTAGACAACCGGTTCCGCGTTTCCAGCGGCTACCTTGGAGATGAATTTCAGGAGACTATGGTGCGCCCTTTCAAAGCTAATAAATAAAGCAGGAATTTATTTCTAATATTTGTAGAGACAAGCAAGTTATTACCTTAGGTCTTATCGTCCCACCTCGCTGTTTGTCCTTTGTTTTTGCAATTCTTATTTCCATCTCTGAATTTCTTGTATCATGTTGGGCTAAGTGCATAGACGCAACATGGGCACGGCACGGCACGACACGACAAACACTCACAACTGTTACGGATTTTTGAACAGTTAGGATGCGGTCACGTTATTTTAAGGGCATATTTGGCAAAGCTTAATAATTTAATTTAAGTTGGTCCTTTTATCCGCACATTTCATTGTATTCACAACTACTGCTAACTTATAATCTACACATTTCTTAGGATTCACAGCTTATAATCTATAAAAAGCTTTACCACACGTGCCGTAAATTCTTTGAATTGTAAATTCATAAATTATATCTTTATTTTTATTATTTTTAGTGTAGGACATGGTACATGGCACTTTAGACACTTGCCCGAAGGGTTTCTAGAGTGTCTCTCGAGTCGATAATTAAAACAATACAGAAAATGGGAAAAGGCCATATGGCTTGTAGGATACATGTTTTTAGTGTCCAAGAAGTGTCGGAGTTCGATACGACATGACAAGTATCGGGCACAGAAATACTTACCTAGTAGGAGTGTCCCTGCATTGTAGATCTTCGGATATTTACCTATTTTACAGTTTGAAACATGATCTCTTTCTGAAGATCACGTAACTAAATAATCCATTTCTCTATAGGAATTTGGTTATAATCATACAAATTCAAGTGAGACTGTAGCATTCCCCGTAGGGCCACTGCCTCCTGGAGTTGTTGGTTATCAACAGTTTGGAGGAAGACCCCAGATTCAAGTCGATCGGAAATGGGCTCTTGGACTCCAGGTTGGTTATGACTTTGAATTAATTTTTACATGTGATTTTCTTTTATCTGGTAGACAAAAATTTGGTCATTTTTTTGGTTCACCTGTTTCAATCTACATGTAGTTCATCGTTGGTCAAGATAGTTATTTCTATTATTTTGGCCTTTTTGGCAGTCTCGAGCCCATCCTCGTGAGATAATGACCGAAGTTCTTAAAGCTCTGGAAGAGTTGAACGTCTACTGGAAAAAGATTGGGCAATACAACATGAAATGCCGATGGATTGCTGGCATGCCAGGTTATCACGAAGGCATGGTAAACAACTCTATGCATGATAATGGTCATTTCGGTGATGAATCTGCTATTATCATAGAGAATGATGATGTTATCAGGCAACAAAATGTGGTCAAGTTTGAAGTGCAGGTAATCATTTTTAATAATATATTCGCTGTTTTTTAATCACTACGTTAAAGAGTTTGAACAGCATTTAGAAGAGGAGCAGATGTATATCAAATGGAGAATAGAATTACTCGAAAGTGAGTTTGAACAGCATATAGAAAAGGAGCAGATGTATGTCAAATGGAGAATAGAATTACTCAAAAGTTCATGATATGTTAACCATGCCATTCTCCAAGAATATGCTTCACATCTTTCTGCATTTTCGAGTTCGATTGCTGAATGACATGCATATCTACACTCTCAGATAAACCCACAAGAAATCAGGGAAAAGAATATATGGTATTATTTGCCATAGAGATACTTTGTGCATCCAAAGGTTAAAAGTTTGGCTTGCATGATAATCATGATGTGAAATTGGCGCTCTTGAAAATCGACTGTTCACACAATGAATTTCGTGGTTGCTTATCTTACGTCAGTTGTAATTTACGGCTAGTAAAACCATTTAAAAGATGTACTTACATTTTCTTAGAACACGTCCCTACGTTGTATGCACTAATTTTTTATTTATTGTGTCCATGATTAATGGTGCTCGGGTGGCCTTTTTGTTTTTACAGCTTTACAAAACTCGTGAAGACAAATACTTACTTGATCTACAGAGAGTTCAGGGCCCGCAGTTCCTCTTTCTGGATCTTTGTGCTGCTTTCCTGGCTCAGCTTCGCGTTCTCTAATGCTAGATCTTCTCCATCAAAGTCTGTTGGTTTCAATGTTGGAAAACTATGATGCTGTAAATATAACCGGTAAAATTTAAGTCCCAAGTCTCCTATTCTCACTTTTAGACGTGAAATGTCGAGCCATGCCAATATTTTTGTTCGACTCGCTAGGAGTATGGGCTTCTTGCTTAGACAAGTTCTTTTTCCTATTTGCACAATTCACTGGAGAAGATATTCAGGATTTTGTTGGCCTTTTATTTGACATAATTCGGCTAATGTTTGGCCTGGTGTAGCACATGTTTCCATTTGTAGTTTTCCTTGATTCTGCCACTTAATTATGTTATGTTAATGTAATTGCAACCTCTGTTATATACACGAAATATGGTAGGAGGTCGTGATTCGTGAATGGGATTAACTCTTGATAAAATAGAATTCTGAGTCGTGAATGTTATTTTGATCGAAAAACGTTTAAATAGAAAAAGGTTGCAATTTTAAAATAATTTTAATATTTAATATAAGCAAATCTAACCGTTTAAGTTCTATTAAAATCTCTTAAAATCACTATATTCATGAAAAGTTTTAATAGATCTAGATCGTTAAGATTGATTTAAATTAATGGTTATTGTTGATCCCAAAAAAATGTACCTCCAATGTGATCAACAAATTCCAAGGTTTTTCATGTCCACGCAAGCCTTGTTCCTATACACTTGGACAAATTGTTAGCCACACGTGGCCTTCTTCGATGTGGGTAGAGTTGGGCGCGTGCACTCTGACAGTCATTTAGTTGGGGAAGAAAAAATGTAAGTGTGGGAAAGCTTTAGACGTAAGCCTCCAAAATAAAAAGGGGGTCAGTCGACTTTGGGGAATAATAGATGGAATAATGACATGACAGAGTTATAGTTTGAGAGTTTAAACTTGTATTACTTTGAAATGACACTAAATCTGAGCTTTCATAGCAGAAAAATGATGAGTAAGAGCCGTTTGATGAAGATACACGTGGCCTCAATCTAGCGGTTGGGGCCTCTGTCATAGACTTCAATCAATCATTCATATACCATGCTATTTTTAATGTTGTGACTGCTTAGCAGACCTAGTTTGACATGTAAGACTAGACTTATTTGATTGAGTAGAGCCATCTATTCAGTGACCTGTCACATTATCCACTTGATACAAGATCTTGTATGAAGATCTTCTTTAAAATGCCTCAACATATCTTACCTCATCCATGAGGGCTCAGCTCCCTTGGGGGTTTGGCCAAGTTGCCACATGCATGGAGTGTGGGCATAGGTTCACTTGTTGTGTAGCTACCACTTGGCCTTGCTTAGAGCTTCGTTGAAAGAGGCGTAACAATAGTCCTCTAAGTTCATGTATGAATATTTATATAATGCCTGGACTTTGAATGTACAATGTGATTAAACATTTGAAGCAGTTTGCGAACTTGATTTAAGGCGATGTCCTTACATTTAGGCAACCCTTTTGGGTGAAGATGAAGTATGTGATAAGGCTGAATTGAAGTTGGGCTAGACCTTTTCGAGAAGAGGCAGCCGTTGATAAAGCTGAGTTGAACATCGACAAGACCCTTTGCATAAAGGAAAGCCCATTCAAGAAGAGTCAGCTGTTGATAAGATTGAATTGAACTTGGTCAACACCTTTTACATAAGGGAGAGCCCCTTCGGGAAGAAGCCGTCGTTGATAATGTTGAATTGAACTTTGTCGAGGCCCTTTGCATAAGGGAGAGCCCTTTTGGGAAGAGGCAATCGTTGATAAGACTGAATTGAACTTGGTCGATGCCCTTTGCATAAGGGAGAGCCCCTTTGGGAAGAGCCAGCCATTGATAAGGCTGAATTAAACTTGGCTTAGGTCCTTTGCATAATGGAGAGCCCCTTCGGGAAGAGATAGTCGTTGATAATGCTGAATTAAACTTGGTCGAGACCCATTTTACAAGGGGTAGCTCTTTCGTGCAAGGGCTTCCTCCATGGAGTTTGATCTATCCATGGAAGGGGGTTAATCGTCTAAGGTCACAAATTGTGGCTCTCTGTGGGATGCATCACACTCTCATTGATGAGGCTATTTTACCTCCTTGCAAGGGGATACCTCTTCCTTGCAAGGGCTTCCTCCATAGTGTTTGATTCATCCATGGTAAGGGTTAATCATCTAAGGTAACAAGTTGTGGCTCTCTGTGGGATATATCACACTTGTTTTTGATGAAGCTATTTTACCTCCTTGCAAAGGGGGTGCAAGGGCTTTTTCCAAGTGGTTAATCGTCCAAGGCAACAAGTTGTAGCTCTTTGTGGGACGCATCACACTTGTCTTTGATGGAAGATGTTATTTTACCTTTTTGTAATTGGAATACCTTTTCCTTGCAAGGGTTTCCTCTATGGTGTTTGATCCATCAATGGAAGTGGTTAATCTTCTAAGTCAACAAGTTGTGGCTCTTTGTAGGATGCATCACACTTGTCCTTGATGGAAGATGCTATTTTACCTGGGCAAGGGGATAACTCTTCCTTGCAAGGGCTTCCTCCATGGTGTGTGATCAATTTATGGTAGGGGTTAATCCTCTAAAGGTAACGAGTTGTGGCTCTCTGTGGGGTGCATCATACTTGTCCTTGATGAGGTTATTTTACCTCTTTGCAAGGGCTTCCTCCATTGTGTTTGATCCATCCATGTAAGGGGTTAATCTTCTAAGGCAACGAGTTGTGACTCTTTGTGGGATGCATCACACTTGTCCTTGATGATGGTATCTTACCTCCTTGCAATGGTATAATTTTTCCTTGCAAGGGCTTCCTCTATATTGTTGATCCATCCATGAAAGGGGTTTTATATATAGTCGAAGAACGATACATAGTCAAGATGAAGCCTTGCATAGTGGAGGCATTGATACATATGTGAGATGAGGTATTGCATTACAAAGTCCCATGTTTCAAGGATAGGGCCTATGAATTCATCAAGTATGACCCCTTTTCCAGGAACCTTTCTTCTTTAGGAGTTATTATTCATAGCTACTTTAGGAGATACTTATGCATAGGCCAAGTAGAGGTGTTGCATGGCGGAAGTAATATTGAATAGGCTAATATGAGGCTTCTATACTTGAAAAAATTATGCTTGTAGAGTTGGAGTATTCCTACAAGGATGAAACCTCTGAAAATAAATGAAGCATTTGTGTAGAGGCGAAGTCCCAGTTTCAGGGATGAGACTTTAATTTTTCGAACTTGTTGATAAGTGTATTTTATACACTTATTTGGGGGCCTAAAATATCGATATTTGATAATTCTTTTGACAAAATATATCCTAAATTGTTGTATTTTATATTATATAGGTAAAACTCAATTGTTGAACAAGGAATTGGATGAAACAAAAGAAAATTAAGGAAAAATGGTAAAGTCCAAAGTTTGATGACCAAATTGAAAATATTTAATAGTTGATTTGGACCACAAGACGATACGTTAAAGATTGTTAGAAGACAATTTGATGGAATTATAACTCAAAAAGGAATGGAATACAATTAAAATTAATTTCCAATCGCATAAGTTATATTCTAGATTTTTAGTCGATGACACAGTAAACGTCCGAATTGGAAATATTCTATTTCTAGAAAAGTTGTAGCCCTTTGAGCTATCTTTCTAACGCATTTGAATTACCTCAATCGGATATCTGGAGAGAAAGTTATGGCCAAAATACTGACTACTGTGCAGAGATAAAAATATGCGCACGAGGACAACTTTACTTATTCGATTGGAACTCATTTGAAAACCAATTTTGACGTGATTTTTAACCAATTTTCTACTCCTACAAATACCTAACAACAGAATACATATGAGAGACCTCTCAAATATACATCTCATACTCCAATATTCATCAATTATAATCATCAAGAGAGGAAAACTCATAATTTTTGTGAGAGAATTAAATGGGCCTTGCAATAATTCAATCAAGTGAAGATTCAAACTTAATTTTTGGGCAAAGAAGAGAAGACGCAAGTGGAGATTAATCAAGAAACCATTGAAGAGATTTAAGATTTCAAGATTTATCTTCATCTTTTCAATTTATCAAAAATTTAAGTTAGTCTTTTCACTTAAATATGATTTCTTGTAATTTCGATGTGTTAGGCTGATTTTATACATTGCTATGTTGTGATGAACCCTTGTTTTGAAATTTCTAATATTAATTAATTATTTTAACGACTAGTATGTTTATTATTGTTTCACCGATTTTTTTAATTAATTAGCTACTAATTGAGATGATTTATTGAAATTTATTATTATCGAGAGAGATAATAGGTTTTTAGTTAAAAATAATAAATATTGTAAAGTTCGATAAAGGATAGAGATATACCTCTATGTTTTACATGGTTTCTATAGGTGTTTAGATCATTTAATGTATTTATCATGTTTGTTTCTTTCATCAAGAGATATGAGGGTCACATGAGGGGAATAGATTTGATAACTATCTAGAGAGATTTGCAATTAAATTAGGAACATTGACCAACAAGAATGACTACAAACTGTCACTTTAATTTATTGTGTTAAAAATAGATTAATAAGGGGGATTCGACATCTTAGTAATACTTTCACATATTTGAAATCAAACCAGTTAAATTGTTTTCTAGTTTAATCGATAATTTAGATATTAGTATAGAAAACTCAAATCATATTTGCTATTCGATTAATGTTACTATTAATTTGAATTCGATTGAATACTTAGTTCTCGTGGTAACCCAGTTAAATTGCTTTTTACTTTAGTTTATAATTTAGATATTAGGACAGTAAACTCAAAACATATTTGCTATTCGATTAAAGTTGGAATTAATTTTAACTCGATCAAACACGTAGTTCTCGTGGGTTCGACACTCTACACACTACTATATTACTCGTTCACGATTCTGTTCACTTGCGGGAAATCAAACGATCACTTGTCTCATTCTTCAAGGGTTCTCCTTCGTATAATCTTCTTCAAAGGTCTTCCATTTTTCAAGGGTAATTTGATTAATGACCCCTTTTAGAAGACCTCCCATTTTTAGGAATTCTTTCGCTTATGACCTTCTTTTTCATAGACCTCCCCATTTACAGGGGTTATGCATATTTCATTACATTTGGAATTATTGCATAAGGGTGACTTTGGTCCAAATGACCTCTTCTCCATGGACCTCTCTTGATCTTGTGTGTCCATTGTGGGTGGATGTCTCTTTTACTTGAGTGGATTTTGTCCTCAAAATACTCATTTTCAAGGAGTGAACACACAAGATGTTGGGTTGAACTTTGAATCTTTTGTGTTTGGGGCTTCCACTTGCTAACAAAACATTTTTAAAGGGGAGGCCCCTTCAGTGCTTGAATTCATGGTGAGAAGGCGCATCTTTTCTTCAAAGAGGGGTTCTTCTATGTAGATCTTAAACTCAAAATACTCATTTTTCAAAGAGTATCACGTGTCAATGAACTGCATTGAGCTTAGAATTTTCTTTTCTTTCGGGTTCTTCCATTTGCTCTTTCTTCAAGAACAAAGCATTTTTCATGGAGGAAACCTAGGCACTCTTTGTATGCTTTTTCCATGAGATGTTTGCAGTTATAGTATGATTTCCTATAGACGGCGCCAATTTGTTGACCCAAAAAATGTACCGCCAACATAGCCAACAGATCCCAAGGCACGTGGCCTCCTCCGGTGGGGGTGGAGTTGACCGCGCGTATTTCGACGGTCAAGTTAGGCGGAGAAGAAAAAATATGAGTGTATGAGAGTTTTAGACGTGAGCTTCCAATATAAAAAGGGAGTCGGCTATGGGGAATAACAGATGGAACAATGACATGACAGTTATAGTTTGAGAGTCTTAACTTGCATTACTTTGAAATGATACAACGTGTGAGCTTTTATAATAGAAAATGATAAGTAAGAGTCATTGGATGAAGAGACACGTGGCCTCATCCTAGTGGTTGGGGCCTCTGTCGCATATATCAATTAATTATTCATAGGCCATGCTGCATTTAATGTTGTGACAGTTTAGTAGCCTTAAGCTTGACATGTAAGACTAGACTTGACTTGTTTGTTTGAGTAGAGCCACTTATTCAGTAAGTTGTCACATCATGCACTTGATACAAGATCTTGTATGAAAATCTTCTTTAAAATGCCTCTACCTATCTCGCCTCATCCATGAGAGCTCAGCTCCTCATGGGGGTTTGGCCAAATTACCACATGGGTAGAATTATGTAGAGTGCAGGCCTAGGTTCACTTGCTGTGTAGCTACCACTTGATATCGCTTAGAACTTCGTTGGATGAGGCCTAATAGTTATGATTATTTGTCAAATTAATTGTTAATGGTCTTTCTTTTATATTTTCTGTTCATTTTATTTATTTTTCAATTCAATTAAAAATTATAGCATTCTTCAACAATTTCGAAATGCTGATAACTCAAAATGTAAAGAATTATAGATTCCTCATTGCCACTACGAATCCATCTAAACTGATAGAAATATCATCTTCCAAAAACAAAAATTCATCATTAAAAAGAACAAACAAAACTAATTTTTTTGATTTTATTTTCTGCAATAACAATTCATATCAATAAATTAATTGTTCCATGATCAGTATGCCTAAATTGTCTTTGCTGATGAACACAGAATAAAACCTTCAACTAGTTTGATAGGACGGAATGTAAAGGGTTCATCGTACTTTCCAGTCCCGTCTAAATCCGCGCACTCAATGGCAATTGATGGTATAAACTACTAATTGACATAGCATATCGGTTGGAGATCAATGGAGTTCCAGATTGACAGTTCACTCTCATGATCAGTTGAATTTTCTTGAGAATTCTCATCCCGAAAATTCTTCTCGTTTCCTTTAATTTCGCTGCCTTCATTTCTTGTTTTCATCTTTTCTTGGTTCGCTTTACATGCATTTCGGAGTCTGCTAAACTGATCAGACCTTTCCTGTTGTGAAGCATTCCCCGATTTGAGCTTCAACTTCAGGCATTCTGCTATACCATTTAATGCGTAAAGAGAAGCCGAGAACTTCCTTTCATAGTTCCTTTTCATCATCTCACTAAGCATCATTGGCTCATTTTCGTATCCCTCCAATGAGATCTCCTCAGCAATCTCAAAAGGGGAACAGTTGAACGATTTAATTTCATCAATGAATTGGAAATCCTCAATTTCAAGGCTCATGTTTTCTTGGTCGTGATTTTCTGCTTCTACTTCTATGTTGTCGTCTCCACTCGAGCAGTATTGATCATTAGTATGTTGCAGTAAATTGCTCAAGTTTTTCTCCAATTTAACAGTTTCTGTTATGCAGGATTCGAAACTTGATGAGTACGTATAATCAGTAGTGATCATACTATCATCAATTGGATGATCATTCAGAAAATCAGTGAAATCAGAAGCTGAAAAATCAGCCATTTTTTCATCTCTATACTCCTCAGGCTGCTGTTTTGGTCGCTCATCATGATCACGAACATGATCATCAGGCAAGAAAGGAGAAACCGTTGAAGAAGAGGCCAACGCGTTATTTCTGGACTTTAGCCTGCTTAGAAGAAGCTTAGTGATTTTCGATGGCAATGCCGGAGTAGAAGTAGACGATGGAGAAATAGGCCAAAAATTTGTTCGCGTATTTGCGCCACGGAGTAAACAAGCTGCCTCATCATAGGCTCTTGCAGCCTCCTCTGCCGTGTCAAAGGTGCCTAACCACACCCTTATCTTTTGAATGGTATCTTTTATCTCAGCCACCCATCGCCCTGATGGCCTTTGTCTAACACCAACAAATCGCTTTCGGGCTCGCCGGATTCCGCCTGTGGCAGCCCCTTCCTTCACCATCTCGTCCCAGGCAACATTCACTTGATCATCACAAGTTTTCTCATCAAATCCACTAGCAGTTCTCTTCCTAGCCATTTCAGCGTTTAAGGAGTTGGATTAATTTTTATTGGCTTATAAGTGTTTTTTCTCACCTATGACAAGTTGATATGAGAATGCTTGTATTTATATGCAGGGAATAGGAAGATCCTAAAAGGAGAATTAGTAGTGCTGAAATGGTCTTTTCTAGCTTGTTTTCACTCTTTTGTTCTTAATTATTTTTGGCTCATATCAAACATATGGAACGTCTTCCTGACGAGAGAGAGAGAGAGAGAGAGAGAGGGATAAAATATTCAATTACATATATCTTTATGTGCTTTGATCGAATCAAAGACTGAAGTTTCTTGCTTCCTCTTCTATGTTACTACTTATTTTAAGGGAGTTAATTTTCTGACTCATTCTGTGATTGATTAAAGAAATCTAGGCTCTTGGAATGAGAATTGAAGATGACGCCATGCATATGATAAGAGTACGTATATAAAATTTATTTAGTGCTTGTTTGGGAGGGATTTTTAGGGGAATAATTGATTTTGAATAGTGATATAATAAGAAATATGTGGTTGAAAAAGAAGAAAAAATTATTGATGTGATGGAAAATATTATTTTATTGAAGAATGTATGGTTGAAAATGAGAATTGTTTTACTGTAAAACTTTGAGAATCACCACCAAACAGGGCCTTAATAAGAAAATTTCAACAAGGATGAACATGGTAGAAATGAGAATGCTAAGATCTAAAACGGCTTAAAAAAAGAAAATCCATGCAAACAAGGTGTGTTTATGCCCGACTGATTATAAATTAACAATACTTTCAAAGAACTAAAAAGACCTCGTGTTCAAAAAATGACGTAAGGCACGTTTGGCAGAGCTTTTGCTTTTACTTTTTTAGAATAACTTCCCGATAAAAGGTCTTCTAGTAAGAAAAAAGTAATTTAGAAAATTATCCAAATATGTCAAAAACTAAATTTTTAATTTTGACTTTTTAAAAAGTCTTGTCAAATGAGTACTAAACCATGTTTGAAGAGAGAAGGGTAAATATATCTAGGTATTATTGTTGTTATAATAATTATCAACATTGAAATGTAATCATCAACTTGTGGTTTTTTTTATCCTTTGAAGGGTTATAATTGCAATGGCCATGTTTTTATTTGAAGGTACCTTTTTCCAATGGAAAGCTATTATGCTTACTAGAGGCTAACCATCAAATTGTACTAAATAGGGCTATACGCGTCTTGCTTGCTATTCCCATCAACAATTAATTGACTCAAATTAATGATTTTTAAAATACAATTTATCGTTACGTTTAATTAATTAATGATTTTTGAAATACAATTTAAATAAAAAACATAAAATAAATTAAACACATTTACTATTCGGGGTGAGGATTCTCCACCCCATTCAGATGTAGGTTGGACGGAGCGTTTGCCATCCCTAAATGTATGTTTTTTTATAAGTCCGTGATACCACGTATGACATATCGACTAAAAGGTTAAACGGTTAAAAAAACATCACGTTAAGATCTTATCTTCATCATGGTAGTTGGTATCCGCACTTATTTTTGTCACATTTGCTATGCCCAGTACTTTGAAAAGTGCGCGTGAAGCTTGGCATTATTGGTTAACACTGCTTTCAGATTTCATCTAAACCCGCTTAAATTTGTAATAACTTGAAATTTGATCTTATCATGTAATAAATTTGATACGAATAAATCCCCCGTCCAACAAGGTCTAATAACATACTTTGAAGAAATAAAATTAATTTTAGATTAAAAAAATGTAATCGCCTTGTTTTGTAATAGTATGTATGAGTCAAAAGAAAGCGATTTGTCCAAAGTCGCCCGACAAATGTTAAGCATTTTCCAAATCTACAAAGTAGATGCTATCAGCTTATTATTTTCTTGTTGAAAGCAACATTTTCACGCGGAATTAAGATTGAACTTCTTTTTCTTCTTCGTTTTTATTGTTAAGAAAAGGTTAAAACAAAAATCGATGAGAAATTTAAGTATGTGTCCTCATAGATCAACAATAAAATCACGAATGGTATCATACAAAGACGATCCCAATAAAAGTGTACGTCCAAATTAATCGTGATAGCAAATATTTATATTGTCGACTTTGGAGGCTGTTGTCTGGACAAAAGGTGATGATCCTAACGACGTTAATGAAGCATGCATTCCTTCATATTTAAGGAAGATGAATCGATAAATTATTGTTTGAAGAGACTGAAATGATATGATTTTTCGAACAAAAGTCACATCTCTTGAATCTCAACGCATATTATATTGTGATTTATGTGTTTAAATAATTAAATCTTTAGATGCTTAATTTTAGAGTTCTGATGAGCATTTTCGAATTATTGAAATATATGGACATATTACTCATTTGTAAAATCCTGAAAAAGTTAAAGAGGAAAAAAACAAAAAAGATTTTGTACGGCCTCTTCAGTTAACCAAAATTCACAATGTACAACTTTTCTGTTTGTTGCTCTGTTTTATTTACTTAAAGAGTGTGTTTGGCTAAGTGCAATTTATGGAAAAGCTGGTTAAATTTTATTCATGATAAATCACCCTTTTACTTAAAAGTAAACATATTTACTTATTTTGACAATATGCTACTTATTTCTAAGTATAATTTCTTATTTCAAAAATTGAAGCATCATGTGAACGTGACATGACATGTAGCTAGAAAAGCCAAATGGACCTCATATACTTGTTCAAGAAAAGGTTTCCTGTAATTGCTCCATGTGGAGAATAAAGAAGAATCCACAAGTCTATTCAAATTAAGTACTTATTTTTAGTATAATTGATTAATTTCATAATCATTGACTAAACATACTGCAAATATTCAACTCCTACTGTCATAGGCATTCAACTAATTGAAGAGAATATAATGAATTTGAAACAGCTATTAATGGAAAAAGTCAAAGAACAATCACAAGAAACGGAAAAAATAAAAATAAAAATGTGACACCTCGAGAATAAAAAATTGCAATTTCATAACAAAAGGAAAAATAGCGACAGCATCTTTATTGGGTACTCGCACAAATATCCTATATTTTGGGGTAATTTTGAAAAAAACGTGATAAACTTGGATTAAACGGTTAAGTAGTTAAAACTGGACGTAAAATATACGTTCAAACATAAAGCACGACACAATTTGTCAAAAATCAGCCTCCAATCTCAAAAAATCAAAGGAAATTTGAAAGGAAAAATAGGAAATCTTCCACAAATCAAGCGTAGACAAGATCGAGGTTACTTCAACATTCATTCTTCAAAGTTCTCTTTCCCAAATCTAGAAATGCACAAACAAAATTGCATTTTTTTTTTTGGACTTTTTGTTTAATTTGTTTTCCAATTCTATCATTTTAATATCGTTTAATGCTCTCTTTGCATAGATTATGAAAGCAACAACCGTAATTATCAATTTCAAGCTAAATAAACTCCCACTTACAAATTTTAATCATCATAGTGCATTGTATATCTCACTTTTCTTTGAATTTCATGATTATGTTCAGCTTGGATCTTATAATGTAAATAATTAGCATTTATGAAGTTTCTTTTTAATGATTTTGTTATTGTGATTAGACACATATTTGAAAATAACATTGTTGATCTCGAGAGGAAATGAATTGTATAATACATATGAAAAATTAACTTTAAATCAATTAAAATGATGCATGTAATATGTTTGACAAAAAGATAAGTTATCTCACTAGAGCAATTAACTAGAAGCACACATGCGCATTTTTGAAAACTTTAATATACGAATTCAAACATTATTTATGTTAATATATATGAAAAAGAAAACTTTGAATTAATTAAATTGATGCATACAAGGTATTTGCACGAAAGAAGAATGTGGAAAAAATGACATTCTGTCATTTTCTAAAAAAAAAAAAAAAGTCTTAGTATCTCATTGGAGCAATTAACTAGATGCATACACATGAGTTTTTGAAAATTTTAACTTATGAATATAAACATTGTTTTATGCTATTACGTATGAAAAATAAAATTTTGAATCAATTAAATTAATGCATGCAAGATATGAGAAAATGAGTATGTAAAAAAGTGACATTTTGTCACTTTTCTCAAAAAAAAAGTCAAAGCATCTCATTGGAATAATTAACTAGATGCATATGTGTACGTTTTTGAAAATTTGAACGTACGAATTCAAACCTTATTTTATGTTAGTATATATATGAAAAATAAAACTTTGAATCAATCAAATTGAAACATGCAAGATATTTGAGTAATGATAATATGGAAAAGTGATTATATATATATATATATAAGTCTCACACAATTTCTTTTTAATATTTTTGTACGAATGGATAAAATTAATGTATTCATTTATTATGAAGGCAAATAGATGCAAGATAATGAATATAAAAGTGACAAAATCATCGGAATTGTTGTCCCAATAGATTGTACGTACAACAATCTTGAGCGCATGATATTTTCTTTGATGAAATTAAGTGCATCAATAGAGATAATAAAAATACAGTGTAAAGTAAATAAAAACCTACATTTGATGGAGATTTCAAATGATATTTTTTTAACATTTTATTTGAAACTCAAGAGAAAGTATATACATTTTGCAAGCTTTCTATTGTTCGTAGATGTGATAACGGTATAAAAAATTCACGAAATCGAATTTGTTGATAACATACAATGTTTGGAGGCAGCTGATTTCTAAGAAAATGATATGATGCAACCGCAATTTTGTGAAACTATAACTGATAATTTTGTAACACCAGTTCAAAAATCACCTAGTATCGAAGAAATTGTTGATGTATAAAATAACATATCGAGAGTTGAAGAAACGATGAATGAAAGAGGAAGTGATGTCATTTCAGTAATCACTATGGATGGAAGTGTTAAAAAACAAGACATTGGTTAAGAGAAGTATTTCGATATATCCGATACACAATAACTTTCAATTCAAAGTAAGTAAGTCGGACAAGAAAGAATATGTGTTGAAGTGTATTGATGAGAAGTCCAAATGGACTTTTATGGAGCAATTAACTAGATGCATACACGTGCGTTTTTGAAAATTTTAACTTATGAATTTAAACATTATTTTATGCTATTACGTATGAAAAATAAAATTTTGAATCAATTAAATTAATGCATGCAAGATATGAGAAAATGAGTATGTGAAAAAGTGACATTTTGTCACTTTTCTCAAAAAAAAGTCACAGCATCTCATTAGAACAATTAACTAGATGCATATGTGTGCGTTTTTGAAAATTTGAACGCACGAATTCAAACCTTATTTTATGTTAGTATATATATGAAAAAATAAAACTTTGAATCAATCAAATTGAAGCATGCAAGATATTTGAGTAATGATAATATGGAAAAGTGATTATATATATATATAAGTCCCACACAATTTCTTTTTAATATTTTTGTACGTATGAATAAAATTAATGTATTCATATATTATGAAGGCAAATAGATGCAAGATAATGAATATAAAAGTGACAAAATCATCGGAATTGTTGTCCCAATAGATTGTACGTACAACAATCTTGAGCGCATGATATTTTCTTTGATGAAATTGAGTGCATCAATAGAGATAATAAAAATACAGTGTAAAGTAAATAAAAACCTACATTTGATGGAGATTTCAAATGATATTTTTTTAACATTTTATTTGGAACTCAAGAGAAAGTATATACATTTTGCAAGCTTTCTATTGTTCGTAGATGTGATAACGGTATAAAAAATTCAAGAAATCGAATTTGTTGATAACATACAATGTTTGGAGGCAGCTGATTTCTAAGAAAATGATATGATGCAACCGCAATTTTGTGAAACTATAACCGATAATTTTGTAACACCAGTTCAAAAATCACCTAGTATCGAAGAAATTGTTGATGTATAAAATAACATATCGAGAGTTGAAGAAACGACGAATGAAGGAGGAGGTGATGTCATTTCAGTAATCACTATGGATGGAAGTGTTAAAAAATAAGACATTGGTTAAGAGAAGTATTTCGGTATACGCGATAAACAATAACTTCCAATTCAAGGTAAGCAAGTCGGACAAGAAAGATTATGTATTGAAGTGTATAGATGATAAGTGCAAATGGACTTTTAGGGTTTCAAAACTTGGAGGAACATATATGTTCNGATTTGTTTGTTCTATCATGTACAAGTATTCTGGAAGCTTTTCATATGAATCTGTGGGATCTCCTCTCACCAATTCCATTGCTTTCTCCTTAGATCTCCAAGCTTTCTCATAACTCATCGACTCTCCATATGTATTCATCATGTCACTTATAATGTCTGTAGGAGTGTATATTATTTTTGTTGAGATATACTTGTACATGATGAATTACACTGTATTTTAAGAGTACGATATAGAATTATAGTAGAATTTATTTGTTGGATTAAAAAGGAAGTCCGGGATACGACTTGGTAAAGTAAAGTTAAGAGAATTGCCCTTGCTACTATCGTTTACCACATATGGATGACATAGAATATGAGGATTTTCGAGGATCTAATACCACAAGTTGAGTGCATTGTAAGACGAATTAAAATATACGTATACAAAGTTATGTTCTTTTTGTATCCGAATGTTTTGATTCATTGAGAGTCGTTAGCTATAGATCACTAATCCATTTCATTTGTACATCTTTTTTATTTTGTTTGCTCAGGTATGTCTGGAGTACTTTTATGTCCCACATGATTGTTGTTTCGTCCGAGAATGCTCGGAGTACATGTACATGAGTTTTGATCTATAGTAATTTACATTTGTCGATAAAAAAAAGGAATTTATTTGTTTGATTTTTAAACTGGTATAGAATGTTGTTTTAGTTTTTATGGAGACGTTTTTTCCCTTTCTAATTAATTCTTGCTTCCCTCTATCTAATATCTAAACATTGAAGTAGGCCTTGTAGGATAATTGTTATACTCAAAGGTAATGATCTGGTATAGAATGTTGTTTTAGTTTTTATGGAGACGTTTTTTCCCTTTCTAATTAATTCTTGCTTCCCTCTATCTAATATCTTAACTTTGATGTAGGCCTTGTAGGTTAATTGTTATACTCAAAGGTAATGACTGCAGATGCTCCATTGTTGGTGAATTCTCAACTTAACGGTTTTCCTTTGAGCAATATGGGATATTATTTATTTTCAGTCTAATGATGACCATTTTAAAATTTAAAATCACTATTTCTTTTATTTTTAGAAAAGAAAAATCGTAATCGTAATCGTAATTATTTATTTATTAGTTACTTCAAGTCTACGAGTTATTTATTTTTAACTATACATTTCAATCAATCTACTATGAGTATTCATTTATTTTTTTTATCTATTTATAAATTAAACAATTTATTTCAATGGAACATTTGGTCCAATTTTGCCTTCAAAAGAGTGATTGACGTTCTTATGAGATGGCTGCAGAGTGCAGCATCTCATCACTGGCTCGCCGTTGCCGAGCCGTCCTAAGAGCATGCACTCGACACTCAGATTTCGACTCCGGCCGAAGGCTCCACGCCGCCACCATCACCACCGGCCTACTAACTGTCCCAAACTCATTCCTTCGTAACGCCATTCTTCACATGTATTCTGCATGTTATGATTCATTGTCTGCACGCAAAATGTTCGATCAAATTCCCATTACATGTAAAGACACTGTTGATTGGACCACGCTTATGGGTTGTTATATTCACAGCGGATTGCCCCATGAGGGGGTTAATTTGTTTGTTAGTATGAGAAGGGAACAATTATTGGTCGATGAAATAACGATAGTTGCTGTATTCAATGCATGTGCCAAGTTGGGTGATAATGTGCTTGGGGTTCAAGGTCAGGTTTGCATGGTCAAAATGGGTTTGGGTATTAGTGTTAAAGCTTGTAATGCAGCTATGGATATGTACGTCAAGTGTGGTCTAATTGGTAATGCGAGCCGCATGTTTGATGAAATGAGTGAAAGAAGTGTTGTTTCGTGGACTGTGCTTTTGGGAGGTGTGGTGAAGTGGGAAGGTTTGGAGAAAGGGAGGTTGTTGTTTGATGAAATGCCTGAGAGAAATGAATATGCATGGACCATAATGATCGCGGGTTATATCGAGAATGGGTTCACTAAAGAAGGTTTTAGGCTTCTAAATGAAATGGTGTTTGTTTTTGGATTTTGCTTGGATTTAGCTGCTCTTTGCTCGTTATTATCGGCCTCTGCTCAGTGTGGAGATGTTGTGACGGGTAAATGGCTGCATGTATATGCTCTGAGAAGAATGGAAAATGCAAAAACAGATATTATCATTTTTACAGCTTTGCTTGATATGTATGCTAAATGTGGTAGGATTAACACTGCTTTCCGGGTTTTTCAGTCTATGCCCTCAAGGAATGTGGTCACGTGGAATGCTATTCTAAGTGGTATGGCAATGCATGGAAAGGGTACTGATGTCTTGAGTATCTTTGATCAGATGGTGAAGGAGGTTAAACCAGATGACGTGACCTTCACAGCCCTTTTAAGTGCTTGCAGTCATTCTGGATTAGTCGATCAGGGCAGACAAATTTTCTACAAACTAGAATATATTTATGGCATAAGGCCTTCGATGGAACATTATGCTTGTGTGGTGGATCTCCTGGGTCGAGCAGGACACTTAGAAGAAGCAGAGGCCATTATACGGGGTATGCCCATGAGTCCAAATGAGGTCGTGTTAGGCTCTCTCTTGGGGTCTTGTAGTGTTCATAGGAAGCTACAGTTAGGGGAACGTCTTATGCAAGAGCTGGTTCAAATTTATCCTCAGAACACGGAGTACCATGTCTTGCTTTCAAACATGTATGCTCAATCAGGCAAGCTTGAAACGGCTGATTCTATACGAAAGGTTCTTAAAACCCAGGGCATCAGAAAAGTTCCCGGAATTAGTTCTATGCATATTGGTGGCCAAGTTCATCATTTCAGTTCAGGGGACAAGTCACATCCGCAGACTGAAGAAATATACTCAGCGTTGGATGAGATGATTCGAAAATTAAGATTGGCCGGTTATGTACCAAACACGGCTTCACAAATCTTCTCCGGTGGTGAGGTTGACATGGATGGGGAGGAGGAGAAAGAACGAGCATTATTTTCTCATAGCGAGAAGTTGGCCGTTAGTTTTGGGCTCATTAGCACACAAGCTGGAATGCCTCTTTACATTTTCAAGAACCTAAGAATATGTCAAGACTGTCATTCTGCCATGAAGATTGTTTCAAAAATATACGATAGGGAAATTGTTATTAGAGATCGCAATCGTTTCCATACTTTCAAGCTAGGTTCATGTTCTTGTTCTGATTACTGGTAACTGTTAGAATCTGGATGCCTGTATATAGCATGGAGATTCATTTTTGTGGTTACTTTCTTGTTCCAATTTGCACAGTTGTACAATAAATGCTGTTTTCGGCTATAAAAATAGTGATTTCCATCCCCCTCTTTTCTTATAAAGTAGTTTATAATTGAACAACAGTAAATGTTTTTTGAATAATAGCTAAATGAACACAACTTACATTTTGACCTTATTGATTGAGAATCGTATTCGTGGTAACTACTATTTTAGCGGGTTGTCTGTCCCCATGTTGACCGTGTCTATGAAAAACGAACAAAATGTGTGAGCCCATGAAAATCTTACCTTAACCACTTATTGCATTGGTGCGATGGAAGAGGAAAGTTTACGCTTTCAAAAATTGTAGCACAGAATTTTCCCTACTTCAGGATCATAATCATCTTGGTTAATGGTTTGGTACTTAAAGAAAGGAAGGAAGAAACGAAGCAAAAACAAATTTATTGATTAAGGAAAAAAGTTTTGCTAAAGACAAAGTAATAAAATTTATACAGCTCAGTGACTAAATGGGGATGTAGCTCAAATGGTAGAGCGCTCGCTTTGCATGCGAGAGGCACGGGGTTCGATCCCCCGCATCTCCACTTTTTTTGTTTCCTCTCTCTCACTCTTTCTCATTGGAAACGACTGTATTACCTCCAAAAAACTGAAAGCCATTTCAGGAAATGAATAAAAAGAAACAAATTAGGATACATTGAAAGGTAGGTTCCCAAATGACCGACCAACTTCCCAATATTTAAATGTTGAATAAATTAATATTAATCTAATTATTCTTAAAAACAGGTAATTTTTAAAATATCTAGTTTGATACCGAAATTCAATTTAAATTTAGATTTTCGTCTTACAAGAGTTGAATAAGTAATGAATTATTTATATCAGAGTAGCAAAAGAATTTCATTTTTCCAAAATAAGCCCAAATCCATTAAAATTTAGTGAAAATTTTCAAGTGAACTCGATGCACGACCCTCCCTCAAAACTACCGCGAAAGTAATAAAATATTTCTTAGTTGTTACTAGTTCAACAAAACAATCTAAAGTTAGTTCCAGTCTATCAAACTCCAATGTCGACGATTTCATTGAATTTGATACGACCCCGTATGGGGAGGAAACAACATCGAATTGATGTCGAGCCCGGAAATGTCACCGTTAACTGCTACCCCCATCACATCCTTGGGTTCTAACTTCTAATGGGTTTGATTATGACAGCCCACTGTATAACTCCTATTCTAAGCCCTCTCCATATGGTGATGAGGCTCTAGATAATGAGTATAAGAGTTGGACCCAACCCGACCTATCCCGATTTCTTATGGTGGTGGTATTGGTGGTGGGCTGGAGGGTCCAGATATGGAGGGAAGACTAAGTATGAGATGTACATGGACATTTTTTACCTCATCTTGATGACGACGACGATAACGAGGGCTATGGCTGCAAAAATGCACGAACAATTTCTTACCTCATCTTGACTTTCGTGAATCATGTGCATATTGCATCCTCAACATTAGATAGCACTAGACAATATGATCAGTGTGATTTAACTTAACTTTATTCATAGACAATCTTGACTGTTTTTCAGTTCTCTTGGTCAAACATATCATCAATGTCTCACCTTTCGACTTATGTGATACTTTTTTTATTAATTTTGACGTTGTTGAATGAGTGGCTTAATAGATGCCAATAGAATACGATAATCAATTACAACTTCTTCTTTATCAATTAAATAGAAAATATTTGTGTCGTTATGATCTTTGATTTGGTTGATCTCAGAAATGATAAATCTAATGAAGATGAGGAGAAAAAGAATTGACCCCACGTCCCACCAAACTCCCAATTAAACATTGACCTTCAATCTCTTGTCCGTCAATCGAGGAATTAATTATGCCATTTGAAATGTTCCTCAAAGTGGTTAAATATTCATCTCTAGACACACTTTCATATTCCAAATCCAATCACCTGCCGTTTTGGAGTTGCCAATGCAGCCAAATTACTAATATAAAATATGTTTGGTGTACTAATAATTCGGTCTACATATATTGACACATTGATCTTATTTTATTATATTAGGCTACCTAAAGATGGAATATGAATCAGAGATGAGAAATATGGGGATAGGGTGGGACTTTATTTTTCATGAAAAGAAAATTTCTCATTCCCCTAATTGACAATCAGGCAACATATAATTTGAATGTTGAAAAGAAAAATGAAAAACGAAAATTTCCGAATATGAGCAAAAGTACAATTTAATTGATCAAGCGTATTCTGAATGTTGAAAGTATATAACTATAGAGAGGTCAGTCCATTCATTTAATTTAAATAACTATTAAATGATTAATTATATCTTCAAAGTTTATATGGATTTTTGTTCAATTGTTGACATATTCAATCAAATTTTGTTAGGAAGAAAGTCCCCATCATAAATGATTAAGAAGGTATTTATTTGCCCCCAACTATTAAATACATTTGATTGCCATTTCAGCATGAAACTTTGGCCCTTTAAAAATTGCATCAAGTTGATTCATTCACCAATGGAAAAGACGGTAGGGTCCGTTTGATAGACAAATATGAAAAGAAATTTTAATTCCATGTTAGTTGAAAAATAAAAATTCGTTAAATCCATATGAATTAGTTTTCCATAATAATAAAGAAAATGCAGATTAAAATAGTTGTATCTTGCAATTCGATTTCCATTTTCATGTTATAATCAAACAGTCAAAATGAAATTCGCTTTCCTTTGATGATATATTTTCCATGGAAAAGTTTACAATCAAACGGCCCCCAAAAACAGCAAAAAGTTTGTCTGTCGGGACAAATGTTAGTCAAACAGTTAAAGAATGGCCGTATCTTTGATTGCGCGTTCAAACTGATGGACAACTTGCTGTATACATTCATTATTAACCATATACAGATTTTTTACTATCTCAACAAATACAGTTTACGATCTGAAAACCCCGTCAAGAAATTGTCAAAAATTCGCACCATTTTCTGACTTTGATCAGTAACAAGTGAAAGAGTTGAAACCCAGGAAAAAGATTGCGACAGAGAGAGCTTATAAAAAGCATTCAACAAATTAAGCCTTATTCCCAAAGAATAAACCCGCCATTGCAGCTTAGAGAGCTTTCCGGGGTCGGCTACATAAATGTTTCATTGCCATTTTGTTCTGTTCATTGCTGGATTTACAGCGAGATCTGAACATTAGCATTCGAGAAAATCTGTTTTTTGCTTATTAAAAAAAAAGAAGATGAAGTTTGGCAGGGAATTAGCATCCCAGATGGTGCAAGAATGGCAGGAAGCATACATGGACTATAATTATCTCAAAACATTGCTCAAAGATGTCTTGAGATTTCAACAGAAAAATGCTTCATCCTCTGAAGAAATTTCTAGATCGCATTCTCTGCAGAGAAGGGTATCCATGTACAGAGCCTTTAGCGGGCTAACGAGTCGATACAGTACTCTCAAAGGCTCCCCTAGGAAGAATTCTCCAAGGAATAGTGAGGATGAAGTTATACTAGTTAGTGCAGTACAGGGAGAGGGTTCAGAAAGTTGTTATCAAACCATGTTCTTGAGGTCTTCAGAAGAAGGTGGAGAATATGAACTCGTTTTCTTTAGGAGACTTGATGATGAATTCAATAAAGTGGTTAAGTTTTACAAGAATAAAGTGGAGGAAGTGAAAATGGAGGCAGAGGAATTGAGCAAACAAATGGATGCTCTTATTGCTCTTCGAATTCGAGTTGATAAGCCTTCGGTAGCACAAAATTGTGCTCGAGAAACGAATTTTTCATCATCTGACGCCAGCGATTCATCCCCAGCAACAGTTATTGCAACTGTGAATGGAAATAAGCAAGGTAAGGCAATCAGAGTGTTAACTAGTCAAAGTGAATATCTAAATGGCATCGAGAATTGATATTCAAATTTTTTGAAGTGAGATAGCATATTCAGTTGATGCTATATAGAAATTGAGTCCTGTTTATAATGAACAAAACAATGCATTGCTTTAGGTGCTTATTATTTTTAGATATACATTTTCCATTCTCAAACTGTTTTTTCTTTTAAGGAGGATTGCATATGGATGTAATTCAAGAAATTGAGATGGGGACTTGTGAAGATGAAAAGAAGCTAGAAAACAAGATGGATTCAAATGGTTTTTGGCCTCCTTCATTACAAGTTTTGGATCATGTAAAAATCAATGTGGAACCAGACACCCCAGTTTCGACTCTGAAAAATGTCATCATGAGTTCAAAATCTGACCTATCATTCAGCAAGGATGAACTAAGAAAAGTAGAAAAAAAGTTGAGACATGCCTTCATTGAATTTTACCAGAAGCTTCGACTTCTGAAGAGCTATTGGTAAAATGAAAAATCTTTAGATTTGGAACTGAAATTGAAGTACAAGTGACATAGTACTAACTGCTATGTAATGTTTCAGTTTCTTGAATATGTTGGCATTCTCCAAGATTTTGAAGAAATATGACAAGGTATAGCCCGTTCCTTTTAATCAGAAGATTTTCTCTCCTTGTCCTCTTTTTCCTCTCGTCTCAACTCATTTACATGTAGATAACTTCAAGGAAGGCTTCCAAATCTTACTTAGAGATGGTTGATAAGTCCTATCTTGGTAGCTCTGATGAGGTTTGTACCATAATATTTTTTTTCAAGTTTGACAAATTATTTTGGCTTGTTTGATAAGGTGGAATCCATATAGGACAGTATTGAGAAAGAAAAAGAAGCTAAAATCATGTTGATTATACTGTACAGTCCTGCATACGGAACACGTGCTTACAGTTTGTTTGCCGTTATGTTTACATCTTCTGCTTCATTAGGTTAACAGACTCATAGAAAAACTAGAGGCTACATTTATTAAGCATTTCTCGAATGGAAATCGAAGGAAAGGAATGAATTCTTTGAAGACGCAAGCTAAGAAAGAGAGGCACAGGATAACTTTTTTCCTTGGTAAGCTTAAGCAGAATGAATCTTTTATTCTTTCAACCATCTAGGAACAACGAATTTGTAGTCCTAGGTAATTACTTGGATTAACTTCTTCTCACCTGAAGGTTTATTCACTGGCTGCTCAATAGCACTGGCAGTGGCTATTATTGTCTCTATACACGGGAGAAATCTTCTTAACCACGAGGGACGTGGGCAGTATATGGACAATATATTTCCACTTTACAGGTATATTTTAGCTATTAATAACTATATGTGATTCAAAATAACGACTATTTTAAACAACTGAGTTTCATATTTGTAGCTTATTTGGATTCATTGTCCTACACATGGTCATGTACGGAGGGAACACATACTTGTGGAGACATTTCCGAGTGAACTATCCATTCATATTTGGATTCAAGCAAGGAACAGAATTGGGATATAGAGAAGTTTTTCTTCTAGCTTCTGGCCTTTCAGTACTCGCATTGGCTGCTGTACTCTCGAACCTTGACATGGAGATGGACCCGAGAACTAAAAGTTTCAAAACATTGACTGAATTGGTTCCACTAGGTCTAGTCACTGTAAGTTGCAGGCCCTTTTCTCTAACAACATGATGCAACATAACTCTATTATCTCTGAGGAATTTTACTGTCTTTTTTTCACACAATTTTTTTCCCGCAGGTTCTGCTATTTATAACATTTTGTCCTTTCAATATCATATATCGTTCTAGTCGCTTCTTCCTCATCAAATGCGCTTGGCATTGCCTTTGTGCACCTCTTTATAAGGTATAAAGATTGCATTACTGCAGAAAATATATGACTTGTTTGGTGTGGTGTATTGTACATTACAATACAGTATTAAAGAAGAAAAAGAAGCTAAAAATGTTGTCCACTATCTTATCCAGTACTACATGCAAAACATACACTGATACACGAAGTTAAAGCATTACCTCATTATCATTTTTCTGGCTGCCTTTGTAGGTTACTCTCCCTGATTTCTTCTTGGCAGATCAGCTTACAAGCCAGGTATGATATAATGCTTTTTACTACAGAATAACAACATTGTTCATAAATGTGTCAGTTCTCTTTCCCACAAACAACAAACTAAGCCATATTCTTGGGTTTTGCCACATTGAGAGTAGCACGTCATTAGTAGGAGACACCTCAACGGAATTATATTAGGATTTTGTATTGTATTTGTATGATATGATAAAGTTTTTGTTAGCCATCAACCTAACACCCTCCTCTTTTTCCTGGGCTGGGAACCAGCTATGAAAAATATAAACAGAGTTGAGTATGCAAATTTTGAATGAATATGAATCCTGATAATAGCTTCCTTCAGCCTTTAATTGACTTGTGCAGTAATATGCTGAGCTTCTGCATTTCAGGTTCAGGCCTTCAGGAGTTTGCAATTCTACATCTGTTACTATGGATGGGGTAACTTTAAAAAGAGATCAAACAAGTGCCTCGACAGCGACATTTATGAAATCTTTCTCATCGTTGTCGCAGTTATTCCATTCTGGTCACGCTTTCTTCAGGTAAATTAACGTGTTGAATGATACAGATTCTCGGTCCAAACTTATATTGTTGTTTCACTTTGATCATCGAACTTTCTTCTATTCCAAGTTAATCACCGAACTTCCACATTTATGTCAACTTAGGCACTTAGTTAATGGAATTGAGACTGTATTTATCTTTGCTTAATTAACTAAATTCTCAGTGCCTACGCCGGTTGGCCGAGGAGAAAGATCCGATGCAGGGATTTAATGGCCTTAAATACTTATCAACAATTGTGGCTCTTGTGATGAGGACGGTATATGATTTAAGGAAAGGAATGTTTTGGAAAATCATGGCTGCATCTAGTTCAGGAGTTACCACAATTTTCAGCACATACTGGGATATTGTTATTGATTGGGGACTTTTGCAAAGGAATGCAAAAAATCCATGGCTGAGAGATAAACTTCTGGTGTCAAACAAGGCTGTGTACTTTGTAGCTATTGTGAGTTTCTCCATTTCTTTCATCGAACATTTGACATTTATTTTTTCTGATAGACTAATGGCGTGTTTGGTAGGGAGGATTGGACAAAACTTGAAAGAAAAGCTAGCTAAAATGTTGCTTGTTGTACTATCTAGTCACGTTTAGCAATAAATCCTTGTTAATTGAATTGCAGGTGGTTAACATCCTTCTGAGACTGGTATGGATGCAGTTAGTTCTGGATTTCAATGAAGCACCATTTCTCCATAGGAGAGCCATGATTGCAGTTGTTGCCTGCCTCGAGATACTTCGCCGCGGAATTTGGAACTTTTTCAGGTTTGATACATTGTCGTGCATTCTCGATTTGTTCTGATTACAACAATAAACGGAGCCTTGTTTTAGAGTCGGCTACATAAATCCATTTTTCCTCACTCCATTCAATTCAGTGCTACATCTACTACTACTAGAAAATCTAAAGCAGTTCTTTCTGACAACTCAATGTCTGTTTTTGGACATACTATAGGAATAAGTACCAAGAAATAGGCATGAACTTCTAATCCTCACTGGCATTAATATTGTAGCCCACTTATTCATATTGTCTATCAATAGAACTGAGCATGTTTCGTAGAGAAAATTAGATAGGGTACTAATACTGACAGACTCTGATTCAACCTTTATCACCTGATTTGGTTCTTTCTGATGGTAATGCCTTCTGTGTTTAATTGGGCAGGTTGGAGAATGAACACTTGAACAATGTTGGAAAATACAGGGCATTTAAGTCCGTGCCCTTGCCATTTAACTACGATGACGATGACAAAACTGTGTAGCAAATTTATTTTATTTTTTTGGGTTCAAGTAGCACAGAAAGATGCATATTTTATTTATTTCTGTTTTAGAATTTTTGTACGAGTAATAAATGTACTAACAAATGCAAAGACCTGTATATTGCATGGGATACCATTCTTTCTTCACACGTTGTGCATAATTGACAGAATTATGTCCTTAAAATAACAATAATTTAGAGACGTGTTTACTTATTTAAATTTTATTTTCAACACATTTCACGCGTCTAGAATGAATTCATTTACGAGCACAATTTTTATAAATGGGTGGCAAAACATGAATACCTCAATCCTCCACAGTATAGACGCAATTAAAGAATTAAAAATAATTCTTTAAAAAATATAAACACGAACTTTATCCCAAAAATGTAACCCATTTAGTGCTGCTACTGTCTTGCTTTTTATTTGCAGAACATTCAGCTTCTAGAGTCGTGAACGAATCATTCGACAAGGGATCACTGTGCAACGGCAAATGGACAGCGAGCCCTGTAAAATGTAGAAACAACAATCCCCAAGTCACATTATCATACTTCTTTGAAATTTTAACGAGTAAATGAAATATGCAGAATTTTTCATGAAAATATTAGAATCCACATAAAATAATACAAGAGAGAGCACCACGTGATCCCCAAGTGAACCGTGAGAGCACTTTGAAACTTGCATTAGATATATAAAAGAATGACCAAGAAAAATGGGCTTCTTAGCTTTTCCAGAAGAATGCCGCCCCATGAATCATGAATGGCTACAATGGACTTTCCTATGCCCATCATCTTGTCACTAAATTCACTCTCTGAGGTAAAATACTCGATCTTGTGTTCCAGCAATGGCCCAAGCATTGCAGCATGGCAAAAGCTGTCCCAGGCATTGATCACGACAGGCCCGAGCTGTATGGGTCCGCAGCCTAACAAGTGACAGGCTGGTATCGAAGAAAAAAAGGAAACCTAAGCAAATAAAGGGTGATAGCATGTAGGCCTGACACAGGCCCAGTTTACACCTCTTCCATTATCTCTCGCTAAATTCAGTCTCTAAGGTAAACACTCCATCTTAACTGCCCATCTCCTTCACTAATTCAATTCTCTCTTGGCACCAAAAACAACAGCAGCAGGCAATTAACACATGCCATATTGGTACATTTTAACCAAAATGAACCTTCATTCTAAACAAGTCTTTAATACTATCTACACATTCATTACTACAATTACACAACTAGACGAACACAAAGCAAAATAATTCCACAACTACAAATCCAACAGAATTAAAATACAAATTGAAAGACAGATGAATCCTACTGCGCTGTTACCTTCATTCTAAACAAGTCTTTAATACTATCTACACATTCATTACTACAATTACACAACTAGACGAACACAGAGCAAAATAATTCCACAACTACAAATCCAACAGAATTAAAATACAAATTGAAAGACAGATGAATCTTACTGCGCTGTGTAACAGCGCAGGTCATAGGTTTTTGTCTCTAAAACCTCAACCACATGTTTAGCACATAGTAACACTACATAATTAGAAAGACAATATTTTAACTTGCTTATCTCCTTTAATACTATCGAGTACAGCGGTCCATGATACCATACAAGGCATGAGGGTTAGAATGTTAACTTGGACCCATAATCAACTCAATCATTTTCTTCTATAACGTGACATAGCTTACACAAGATGATCTTGCTGGATCTGAGAGAAACCCAAACTTTAAAGATTTGAAGATATGTAATCGTATGACAAAAATATTATGAATTAACTAATACGAATATACCTCAGAGATTCTTATAAAAACAAGGACCATTTCCATGCTCATTTATCGACATGTGCTGCACTAAGCAATTTCCAAATCATATGAAATAAACAAATACCATGACAAATTGGAATATGCCTAAGAGATTCTTTTAAACCATCCAACTACACAAAAATCCGTATCCACTTAAATTTTGTTTTTCTATTTCATGTCATCTCCTCACTACACTGTCAACATCAGTTTTAGGGCAAAACACTCTCCTCATCTTATATTACCTCAAATTCATACTAGGATTCCTACGTCTCACAGTATTTCACAAGCACAAATCCTTTGTTTTGTTTTGTGTTTATTTCCATTATTATTTTTTGTTTTTTTGCTTTTTTTTTAACTGCCTTAAATCAACTTTCGTGCTCGGATTACAATTCATCTTGCAGGTACAATTCCTCTATTATTTCCGTCGGCTACCAATCGAACACAACTTAACACTCAGAAAAGTTCGACGGTTTCTACGTTGATAAAGGGAAGTATCCTACGTAATTCCAGTTACAGAAGTAGTCGAAATATCCTCTATACACGTCCCCTTTCCCTGCCTCCTTTCGCCAAAAAATGAAGAATATATTTTAGAAGTAAAAGTAGCCAAATCCTACCTCATTTCGGAAAATCCAATACAAAAATAATCGTTTACATGTTCCAACTTGCACATCAATTTCTTACTTTGACGTCAGCCACAAATTTTCTCATTCCCTCATAAATCCTAATATTTATTTACTCAAAAGCTCAATTCATGGTTTTCAAAATTTCCCATTTCTCAGCTTATACAGTAAACTTATTTCATAAACATTAAATCCCAAGTTTAAATTCAAATTAGCAATTGTTTAGTGCGTGTTTTCAAGCTTGTATAAAATTTAAAACTTAAACCAACAAAATCACACCAATCTTAAATGAGTTAATTAAATGAGTGCCTACTCAACTTTACCTATGGTTACTACTTGCTCACTGAAGTATAAATGGTTACTCAATGCTCACCGAACTATATATTAGTTTACCCATCAATCACCCATCCTAATTTCGTCTACATAGGTGGATAAAATTATCTACGTGGCGGATGGAAAAATGACGTGGCAATATACGGCGTTAATTTTTCACACGTTGGATGAAAACGCTGCTGCCTTTAAGAAAATCGTGTCTCTTCTCTTCAACACAAAGCATCCACTCCCATTTCAATTACAAATTACGCAGAGAATTGAAAATTCCCAATTCCAATCGAACCCTAGAAAGCCATGGAATTCTCTCCATCCACATCTCGCGAACAACAAAGCCGACTGGAAGAATCGATTTGGGGCTGATGTCCGACAGTGAAGAATGGAAAAAAGGCGGTGAAGAACGGAAAAAAAGCTGAAGAAGCCCATAGTTGGAACACCTGTGCCAGTGTCTTCTGAAGAAGCCCGTATTTGGAAAATGCAAATTCATTTCTGAAATCTGGAAAAAAAAAAGGCAGTGAAGAATGGGAAAAAGCCGGAAGTGAAGAATGGATTTTCCGATAACAAGAGAATCATTGGATGGTGTCTGGGCCTGGGCAAGTTGCTGATGTGATTAATTAGGATGGTGATTAATTTTTGAACTTTGGCTTGTGTGATTAATTAGGATGGTGCCTGGGCAAGAATGGATTTTCCATTTTGGAACTTTGGCTTGTGTGATTTACTCATCATTGCAGTTGTTATTTTTATTTTTTTGGAGGCCTTAGGAAGTTCCGTTATGTTGGCCTTGGTCTTTAGAAGGTGTAGTTGGTAGGTGGTGGTTGGTGTATCATCTTGAATTTCTATGTTTGTTTGTTTGTATATTTGTTGGTTTCTATGTTTGTTGTAATTTCAATAGACAAATGATTGAATGAAATGAATGGTATTCTTGTTGTAATTAGGATGGTGATTAATTCAATGATTGAATGTTGTAATTTCAATAGACAAATGATTTAATGGAATGAATTGAAGCATTTTCCATGTTATTTGCAACAAACTACTCTGTGTTGTAATTTACAGCATCAAATTGCATAAGTTAAATGCAATGTGATGCATCAGAACTTTGCATCAGATTGCATTTAACCTGTGCAATCTTCAATGCAATCTGATGTATAAGAGTTCTAATGCATGCATCAGGTTGTCATATACAAAACAGCTACCAACACGGAACACAAGCCACCAGACTACACCAGCAAGCATTTCATTAAAACTAAATCTTCAAACATCTGAAAGAATAAATTATATTCCATTCATTTGTAGCTTCAATACACATAGAACACAAGCAGCCAATTATAGAACACAAGCAGCCAATTTTCCTACTACAATACAAGGAAAAACGTCAACAAAACGGCTCTAATCTGAAGACAATTTTCCTACTACAAAAGGATCATGTTTGATCATGTCCATTACAAAAGGATCATTTCTAGCCAGCAGCTTTACACAAAAACAAACAAAATTACTGGAAGACAATGTCAAACCAAAATTTGGGTTTGTGACAACAACTTAGGCAATGATAACAGCAGTCTTGTAGTCACGACTGGTAATGATTCTCTTGTACAGCTACCATCAATTTTGGAACTCACCGGACATCAGCTGTAACAAATACTTCCGTCCTTCCAAGCATAAGCTGCACATGATGAGCTTATGCTTATGAAACAAGTAACCTTTAAGCTGCTCAATGTTCCTAGACTTTGGCTTTCTCCTGGTTCCATCCTTTAAGCTGCTCAATGTTCCTAAACAAGTGACCTTTAAGCATATTCTGTAATGTTTTATTTTGTTTTGTTATGTTATGAAATTTTTTAGATGGCTTGGCACAGCAACATCACAAGAACACCATTCATTTCACTCAGTCATCTCTCTATTACAATTACAACAAACATACAAAGCAACAAACATACAAACCAATAAACATAGATGATACAACAACCACCACCTACCAACTACAACTTCTACAGACCAAGGCCAACACCATCCTAATTAATCAAGCCAAAGTTCAAAACTGGGAATCCCAGAAAAGCCAGCACCACCAAACTACCTCCATCAGATTACAAACATAGCATTATCAGAAACTTCCCCAATCACATAATTGTACCTTTATAAACACTACCAAAACCACCTTCATCCCCTCGGAGTATAACAGAAACGGGCTTCTTCAGATGGATACAACCACATAATCTCCCTGCCCATTTGGAGGCAAAATTGTACCTTTATAAACACTA